TTTAAATTAGGGTAATTCAGTTTAAAATAAGAGTTGTGTATATTATAGCAGTGTTGGCCTAGTGGCTTCAGCGTGCAACTCTCATACCTGAGGAGGTTCGATCCCCGGCTGTGCACCAAAGAACTTTCTATGTGCGCATTTAACATTTGCTCGAACGGTGAAGGAAAACATCGTGAGGAAACCGACATGTCTTAGACCCAAAAACTCGACGGTGTGTCAGGCACTGAAGATCACCTACTTGCCTATAAGATTTAAAAATGATCATGACACAGATTCAGAAATCTGAGGCCAAGACCTAAAGAGGTTGTAGCGCCACTGATTTATTATTTTATTTATTATAATATTATTACAAACAATTTATATAACTCAAAACTTGGTGAATGAAAAGAGTGGCGGAGAGTTTCGTGCCAGCTCTTCTTGCCCACTACGCCCTTGACTTGCGAACTGGTAGTAAATTTAGAATCAATTTAACATCTTTTGTGTTGACGTTCATAAGTGTACCTACTTGGTTAACTATTTGAATAAAGTTAGTTTGAGTTTGTATATACGTATTCGTTGGAACCGGGATGAAGATCGATTTATAAATAATGATGTTTATTATATATTATATACATTATACATATATATTATTATCACTTGGAAGTAGTGCGTACGGCAGTGCGCTTTGTGACTTGCCCGTATACACTCTCTTATATATTAAATTGGATTAAGTAATATTTTTTTATAAATCGTGCTTATTTTTTAATTTAAGTAAAGTCCGGAAATACAGCCAATCAAAAGAATAATTAAATGCATATACATATGTGCATAATTTGTCAATTAAGATAAAATCCAAAGCTAAATTTAGTTGATTCTTGACATTTGTTATACCTACTATTTTTGTTATTTTTTCGTTTCACAAATATATCTATTGACATAATTCGCATTCACGACTTAATGGGTAACACATATGAAGTATAACACTTATATCTGAGTGGGGTTCTGGGTTCCATTCGCAGCGAAAAAAGCACTAATAGGCTGGATTATGACTGGTATTTTTATACATATATTCACGTATTTTTTTATATATATAAAAAAATACGTGAATATACTCCGTTACAGTGAAATTCCGGTTGAAACTAAATTATATACGAAAATATATTTCACCAGAACGAGAACGAACTGCGTAATCCAGCCATAGGGGTTTGTCGGCACAGATTACCTTTAAAAATAATCAATAAATCAGACGCAGTCAGGACTTGGTTTGGAAGTACTCTAGATGAAACTTCTCTTCCAGAGAGTGTGAATTCCACATATCCCTCTACGGGGAAAGTAGAAAAAAAATACATCCGGTATTTCCAGCATTATTTTAATTCCAAACAGTATCGGTACCTCATTAATAACTAATTATTCACTCAAATAACGGTTATAATTTACTCATAAGTAAGCGAGTATTAAGACGCCATTGCGGACGTTGCCAAAAGTACATTGATCTCGTGACCATGTCACCTGCTTCCATTGTAGGCTAAGCTATACGATCAATAATTATATGTAAATAATAATCAAATTTAAATATGTATTATAAAGAAAAGACTGGCTTAGAAACGAGGCTTAGGACGAACTATGTTAAAATGTCATACGTTTTTAGCATACGGAAGTCACACTTAAGGACCTATACGGTCGCCAAACTACAATAAATAATATTTTTTATTTTTTAGTTTAATTTTTTAATTTTTTTAATTTTTTTTTCGGATTATTGCATTGTCATCGATCTTTGCCAGGTGCGCAAAGTTTGAATTAAATATGTCCGTTAAAAGTGGGTCAAAATCGAGTCCGAAGGAGTCGGTTACATGCATACAGGTGAAGCTAATATAAAGCGTGTAAAAAAGTACATTGTTTCTTTCCATTTTTCGTCATCGTTCCTTGAAGTATGTAGAATGGATCAAAATATATGGTGGAGTTGAGTAGTTTATGTATCCATTTTGAAATATCGATACCCGATTTAAATAACTGCGCTTGATAAAAAAAATCCAAACATAGCCAATTTTTTACACTTTGAATTCATTTTATGACGAAAATGTATATAGAACATGATTTTGAAATTTACACGATATATTTTAAAGCAAGCCAAGTAATTCATTTCAGCAAAAATTGATAAAATTACATTAATTTAATGTTTTACATAACTAATTGTTTTTACGGGCCGGCGCGCCTCAGTGCTCCATCTCTGTTGTCAAAAACTCTCAGTTGTCAAATCGACGCCGTCATACGAGATAAATTGTCTGACTTGATCATTAGTACTCTGCTGTGTACTATACACATATATACTTCATCTCTGTCTTCAAACGGTAACTCGTGTCTAAGCGTCACGATCAGCAAGGAAACATTATTCTTTCTAATAACTATTCTTCTAAAAACAAATCGTTATAATCAATAATATTTGTTTAATTTTATCTTAATGCGTGTTGATAAACAATATTTTTAGTCACTTTTTATTTATTATTCGATTTGTGAATCTAAACCATCCAGGGCGCCACTCAAATGCATCAGAACAATTCATTCAAATCGGTCCAGTCCTTTAAGAGGAGTTCAGTGATATAAACAAGTACAGTACAATTATATATATAAAGCTATTGTTTCATTAGTGAGAAGGGCGCAACTGTCTAGACAATTTTTTTAACACGTGTCAATGTATCGCATATAATTAAGTGTACAATTGCTTTATATTTTACAGACGACGAGTAATAAATAGAATTGCAATCCTACGCTCTTTTATCTATTGTCTGACCATTATTCCAGAAAAGCAACCATATTACGACTAGGGTGAAGTCCCGACACTTAATATTATATAAATAATACCTGCCCCCGCGAAATTAATTTCTCCTTAATGTGATTTTACTTAGCCTACCTTTTTAGTACATACCAACATGGAATATTTTACTATGCTACCCCAGAGACTGTTCCGTTTTCCAGAATGAAAACTTTTTAGGGTCTCCTGTGATTTTTCTCTATCTAAACCTCAGAGTTCAAGTTTTAAGTTCTTAACTAACAAATAAAAAATAGGGGTTGATCGTAGAGGGGTGAAAATTAAGGGTTGTATGTATTTTTGTATGTTGTATCATAAAAAAAATATTATTTAAATTATAATTTATTATATATTTATATCAAAAAATTTATCTAAAAATAGAAATAAAAATTTAGGGGTGGACCACCCTTAAAATTAAGGGGTTTGAAAGATAGATAGTAGCCGATTTTCAGACTTACTGAATATGCATACAAAATTCTATAAGAATCGGTCGAGCCGTTTCGGAGGAGTATGGGAACGAATATTGTGACACGAGAATTGTATGTATTAGAAGATATTACTCTACGGTCGAAAGAAGAAAAACGAGGAAATCGAGGACCTGATAGGCATACCCAACCCTGGTCATCATGAATGGAAAAATATAGGATTGTAAAAAAAGCGTATCTCGGCCGGCCGTCGGCAGAGTCAAGGTGAGCTGGAAAGTGGTGAAGGACCGATGCGGTGTTGTGCTCTAGTTACGACCAAGGTTCACTTTGGGTCGCTGCGCCAGCGCAGTAAGACTGAATAAATACCAAATAACACAAAATTTACGAACATAAAATCCTAAGTAATGAGCAAAAGAAAACAAGTGTATCTTCGCAGTCTACATTCCCAAGGTCGCTCGTCTCAAAAATGTAAATATAATTTGTACGACAAATACCGCAAATGCCAGAGATGGGTGTATGCTCAAGAACAAATATGTGCGAAATTGCTTTGCATTTTTCAATTCGCTTTAAAAATAGATAATCTGGTGATTTTGTTTGTGTCACGAGAACCAAACATCACGCTAGCTTCACGGGACTGAGAAAACGTAATAATAAAATAATGCATTAGCAATCTAGGTACAAATTAATCATTTAACATCAAGATCGCTAAACTCAGTAAGTGACGGCCGACGGCCAGACCTTCGTCATTATAGTTTTTTCTCTAACTATTTGGTAATATAATAAAGATACAGTGCAATCGAGCTAACAAATCGGAAGGGAACAAGGGAAAAGTTTGGGGCCATATTTATTTCTAAAATATTTTAACATATCCACTGCGAAGCCAGTAATGATTAATAAACCTGTTTTATTTCAATATTTTGTAATCATAATAAAAACCTTGCCTTTATCAGTGCATATGTTTCACAGAATCGTTAATTTTAAACTGAGTATTTATTATATGCTTGGAACTTCAAAAAATAACTTAAGTAAACTGTTCACGTTTACCTGTCAAAAAGTTCGTAAATATGTAACCACTAAAAATGGCCGGTGATAATTAAAAAACGTCACCCGGCGGATGTCAACATATTTAACATCATGTTAAAAAACATCTAGAAGATAAGAGCGAACATCAGGTGAATTTCTTACTATAAAAGAAAAGAAATTGCGGCCTTGTCAGATGTCAGTTGTCATTGGGCTATAAAATAGCAGAGACTGCAAGCGCACAAACTAGAGCATAAGTTAAGTGTCACCGACGCCCATGGGCTAACATTGCCAGGCGAGTGATTTATTTATCTTTTTCACGTAACAGATCTTGAACACCACAGATCATAACACACAACTATTAAGGAGTATAATGTAAATGTTGCTATACACGAAACACCCCGCAACAGTAAAATTGTGTAGCATTAAATGTAATGAATGCTACATACCATAAATGTATGGTATTGGGTCATGGGCCAACCATAAATGACAATAATAAAAATTAATACAGTTACATACAAATTATTCTGAACGAATCAGTCCGAAGACTCTAGTTTATATTATTGTTCTTATTTGAGAACTGGCAGTAAATCTTTTTTGACGTTCATAAGTGTACATTGTGTTACCTATATGAATAAATGATTTTTGACTTTTGACTTTGTTTCACCTAAAGATGTTTTAGTTCCACGATAAATGGACACCACACACATAGTTTGACAATGTCCTGAAATAAACCCTTCAACCTTATAATATAAATATATGTTTACATACTATATGTTAAGGTATAATACTTTGGGTGCTAGTCTACCAGACAGCTGCAATTTCGCAAATTGGGACACCAATAAAGAATCGCACGCCACCGAACTAATAAACGGCCTGCTGCAAATATTGTGTTTAATTAAAACGCCTTATTAATTTTAATTACATTATTATTGCGCGCAACTTTTATTTTGTTATTGGGTTAAACAAAATAAATTTAACTAATTTTTACGTTTTTTTTCTCTTTATGGCTCTGGCACGGTTTGTGCATTAGCCAGCGTCAAGTATAAGATTTTTATAAATAGCTGTTTTAATTATTTACAGTTTATGAATAATAAAAAACGAAGGAAACTAATCGCGACATAACATAAATGATTGAAAACGCATTAAATTTACAAAAAAAAAATCAGAATAGTTACATAAAGGGAAAACTAAATTAAAATTATAGTTTAATGTTATTATTTACAATAAACATACGTACTTATAATAATATAAGGGGATTTAAATCTCGAAGAAGTAAAGAAATATTGGTAGGAAGGGGAACAGAGAGATATTAAAGAAGTATATAAGGAAGAATGGTCATATTTAGGACAAGAAAAGAAAACATGATTCAGGTCAGAATAGCTAGCCAGAAAAAAATCATTGCTTTACAGGGTTTGAACGCAATCCGGATTTGTTGATGCTCTTGATAGACTGGTAGTTACAACACTTGTGGAGTTAGGAATCCAGAGCTTCGATATTCGATGTTTTTTTTTCTACTCAATATACATTAAACATACCTTGTAAAATTCAAGTGATTTGAAGCGAGTATCTCCGGCAGGGTCCCCCAAAGGGTCTGGTGAAGGTCCCGGACGGGTGCGCCCCACCAACACGCGTGCCAATAACGGACTGTTGACGACACACAGCAGTTTACACCTGAAATGATATCATATTACAGACAATATTGCAGTAAATTGTTCTTTATTTGAAACGGTCCTCGCGTATTCGTTTCGCCTTAATATGACTTTTTACTTAGCTTACCTTATTAGTAGCTACACAGAAACATTTGAAACATTTTGCTATTATAACCCAAAGAGACTGTTCGCTTTTCCGAAATAAAAACCTAAGTATTAAATAAATCAAAATTTTTCAAATTTTTAAAAATATTATTCTCTTCATTACTCATCAAAATATTACTCGAATTGGTCTAGCCGTTGCGAATAAAAGCCCACTATAATATATGATCTATTATTAACATGCACATAGAACGATTTCTAGCATAATATGCCATAATATCCTGGATGCAGTTTTATGATAAGCTCCCGTATAATCATCATTCTTATTAAATTTTTTTATAGAACAGGGGGCAAACGGGCAGGTGGCTTACCTGATGTTAAGTGATACCGCCCATGGACACTCTCAATGCCAGAGGGCTCGCGAATGCGTTGACGGTCTTTTAAGAATTGATAAGCTCTTTTCTTGAAGGACCCTAAGTCGAATTGGTCCGGAAATACTTACTACTTCGGGAATTATATTCATGAAGGCTTGCTTGACGTCAAATTCAAATTTTTACGATTGAAACAATTTTTGTAAGCAATATTACTCATTATGTATTACGATATGTTCAGAGTCTACGAGCCCAGTACGCCTGGTATGATAATTGGGCCAATATACATAATCAAGCTAGCGGAAATAGGGGGAAGACACGAATTTATACTATGCTTTGTCATATATTATTTTATCCAATATCCAACGTCAATTTCATATGTAAGGACCTTGTACCTGTTATTACATTATATATTATAAACACTTTTTGCGGGTATTACGGGTTCGAGAACGCATTTAAGAATTATCTAAATGTACAACCTTTGGTCTAAGAACTCTACAAAATTGTAAATAGTATATTTTAGCCCAAACGGGGCGTTCAAGTATTACGTAAGCACTTTTATTTTCGAGAGCTTTGCTTAGGAGGAGGGGGGATAGATAAGAAAACACAAGTAAATAAATTTCTGTATCTGATTTATATTCGGTCTAAGAAAGTACGACCATATCTCTGCGTTCCGTAAGCGGCTAGGCTGGTTACCCATTCGTCAGCGACGTGATGCTCATGTTCTCCATCTCTTATATTCCAACCTGTTCAACCGTAAAACTCCTTCCTATCGCAAAAATGATTTCAAATTTATGGGAGCCCATAACTATACCTTACGCTCTTCCGAAAACTATATCCTTGAAATCCTATCTCATAACTTCTCCTTTCTTGGCGAATCCTTTAAGGTCTCTGCAGTTAGGCTATGGAATTCACTTCCCGTCCCTATTCGCTTAGCTCCTTCTCTATCTTCCTTTAAATGTCTTCTGTACAAACATTACCTGTCCACATCGTATCCCTAACTTTCATACTAACTACTAACTGACGTGAGACTGATCTTAAATTATCGTGATTCATGTGCACTTTTTATTTTTCATGTATCCTTTTTTAGTTTAGTTTGTTTTTTGTTTCTGTTTACTATAACTAACTATATGTAATATGTATTTTGAACTTCTTGCCTACCATATCTAATTTAATATATTTCTCTTACAGTGGTTGCTTGGAGTTACCCTCCTTTTCATAAAATTTTTGGAGATTATTGACCCTCCCTCCCCCCATGTAACTCGCCGTAACGTTTTTCAGTACCCAAGTATAGTAAAACGTTTCGTGACCACCTAGTGACTCTTTAGTTACTATTATGTGGTGAATAACTCTTTAGTTACTATTATGTGGTGAAAAATAAAATATTAACAATAACGCGTAATTTTATCCCCGCCCCGCATCGTAACGTTTTACAAAAGGACCCCCCCTCCCAAAATACGTTACGTAATACATGAACGCTCCCTTAGTCCTATCACAACGAAATCATTGATGACTTGGTACAGTTAATTTAGATATAAATTGATCTGATTTACATTTAAAATATTTCCACGCTATATCAATAAAACTACATTTCAATCATCACGTAAACCTTGAATTACTGCAGAACAATAGCGAATTGAAAATTGTTTTTACAAGTCTAAGACAACTCGCACGATTGTGCTAAATACAAATTTTGAAACAAGTTTTATACTAAAAATGTCGAAACACACTTCTATAGCTTCCTCTTATTAGAGAGAGTTTTATTGCGAAAAAGTAGCTGCACGAGTGCATGAGTTTACGGTTAAGCAGAGAGATGTTTACGGATGGTGAAGAAGTAAGTAGAAGTCAAAGTCAAAATCATTTATTCATTTAGGTAAAACAATATACACTTATGAACGTCAAAAAAAAGAAAAATATATGGAATGCTCCTAATTTTACATTTACTGCCAGTCCTCAAATCAAGGGCGTAGAACTGGCAATAAATTCTCCGCCACTCTTTTTATTCGCCAAGTTTTTGAAGTTATACTTCTTTAGGCGCGTTATGAAAAATTGATGAGAGTGAAATTTTACGATGCGCGCGCACCGTGACACAAAATTAACAGAATGAAGTTGCCCACACAAGATGCTACGGCATTGGACATAATTTAAAAACAACATTCGAATAATAATAGAAGAGAGATGAGGGCACTGATGGTAGTGAGGGCAGGGTCTCTTCATCATCATCAGAGATAGGTTCCTCTTTTAAATCAATGGCTATATTGTGCAATACTGCCAAAGCTACACCATACATCTTAGTGTTTGGTAGAGATGTTCTAAATATATAATAATATATACTTTTAACTTAATAGAATTTATGTTACACTTAACGTAAGAGAATAAAAACAAATATTTATTTATTTAAAGTTTCAAATGTAAACTAAACTTTATTGACTATAATGACTCCTTTTCCAGTCTTTGATTATTTAATTGTAATTAATTATTTGCATGCAATCAAAAACTATTTTTAATAATGCCAAAGAAGTATCACTTCTTACGCGCGTACATGAGTACACGCACCCTTTTTTTTTGTTTTACACAAAGCATGGTGTCATACAATTTTTCTTAACCAAAAATTAAAAAGAGCGGAGTTTCTCACCATACCCATTGCCCTTCATATACGAATTCAAATGAAGATCTTCCTTTTTTTTTAATTTTGTCGTTCATAAGGGTACACTGTACATAGTTATCAATATTATATAAATTTGATTTATACATGCGGTATCTACTTTATAAATCTATCTTCATTTGTTCCGTGGTGTTTTAACTCACACCTTTCACAAGATTGCAATTACCGTCTTTTGTTTAACACAATGTACAAATATCCATATGTATGTCGGAGAATGTTTGGATTATCAGTTAATGAATTATCGAATCAATTGACTACTAAGAATTCCCAATCGAATTGGGAGTTATTATTAATCCTAATATTCTGCAAAGAAATCAGTTTATTTGTACCGAACGGCTATTTGAGACGGCGGAAATGAAGGTTATTTGCAGTTATGGGCAGAACGAATTTGTGGCATAAGGCCCCCTTAAAAAAGGCGTTGGCTTAATACATATCGATCGTTTCGAAAATAGTTTATATGTTATCAGTTACGATAATTGAGTTACACCACTATCGCATTGGCTACAAGCTGTTAGGGACTTATATATATGTAGAACCTCGTTAAGTCGAACCTCGATAAGTCAAAAACCTCCAAATCTCGAAAAAATGTTTTGTTCCCTTCCCTTAAAACACCAAAACCTCCATTACTTGAAATCTTGACCCTCTGTTAATCGAAATAATCACCGAGTCCCTCCAAGCCATTTTGGTACATATTTTCACTCTATAACTCGAAAAATTAAATTTGACCTCTGTATCTCGAACATAGGAACGTTTTATTTTACAACCTTTACAACTTGATCATTTGGAATTTATTATCTCTATTGTTCGAACAAAAATAAGTTACCGACTTTAAGAACTTGCCGCCAATGTGAGTACACTATTGTTTCTTAGAAAACATTTTAGGAGTATACAATAATAAATTTATGACTCATGGAAACACGTGTTTGCTTGCTTTGTGTCAGGTGTTCAATTTTGATTCCCTTGGAAATTTAGCTAAGCCAGTCATTTGTTTTCGACTTAAATACTGTCAGAAGTAGTTTGGTTCTACTGCAATACACATCAATTAGTACAACAGTTAACATGAGTGCAGTGAAACGTAAACTAAAAACTTAAACCTCAAACTCTTTATGTCGAATCAAAATCCGCCTAAGTCGAAATCCTCCATAAGTTGAAAACTCTATAACTCGAATTTTTTGGCGTCTCCCTTGATGTTCGACTTATAGAGGTTCTACATAAATAAATAAATAAATTTGTGTTTTTGTGTAAACTCAAAGCAGCAGTGCAGGCCTTCAGCGTGCGACTCTCATTATTGAGGTCGTAGGTTCGATCCCGGCTGTGCACCAATGGACTTTCTGTATCCATTTAACATTAGCTCGAACGGTGAAGGAAAACATCGTGAGGAAACCGGCTTGCCTTAGACCCAAAAAAGTCGACGGCGTGTGTCAAGTACGCTAATAGATTGAGAAATGGCCATGAAACAGATACAGAAATTTGAGGCCTAGACCTAAAATGTTTGTAGCGCCACTGGGTTTTTTGTTTTGTTTGTGTAGAACGATCGTCTTTTGTTTGTTTTGTTGAACTTTCTTATCAAAATTCAACAAAGGTCTTACCACCATATCCAATAGGCTCGTTCTCCATGACCTTGAACGTGAAAGGTATGTGGACCCTCTGCATGAGAAGTCGTGGCGGCTGCATCGAGCGAGGCCACGTCTCCTCCCGCCCTTCGCCAACAATACCTATCACCTCCATGTTCCTGGAACAAATGATTATTCATGAGTGATGTACACAACTGTTATTTAAACTGGTTATTATAATCACTTGAATAAATTAATCGGCAGTATGGTTTTGTTAGGTTAGGTTAGTTTTTACTTCTGAACTCGTTAATTAAACGCATATTTTAATTTTTAACTAAACAATTTAAAATAGTTTTTTATCAAAGTCAAATAATTTATTACAATTAGGCCTACCCAAAAGACACACTTGGAAGTTAAAATTACAAATATTAAAAAAAAATACTATAGTTGCGCATCCAAATGGTAGTTTTTACAATATTTTATATACATTGATTTGTTATTGTAATATCAATTGATATTATTTTGATCGATATCTTTTATAATTTAAAGTTATATTTGTATAAGAATAATCCGAGGTCACCTCTTAGATTATACGGTAATTTCGCAGCCACCTGCCTATCCGGTGAGTAGCTACTAATAAAATCCTAGAAGCTCTTTTATCTCTGCCTTTTAATAAATTTAAGAAATGTATCAAAGAAAACCTGTGTAAAAAGGCTTACTATAAAGTTAACATTTATCTAGTTGATAAAAGGGCCTGGGACTAGTGCCTAGACAGGCTACTTCTATTTAATTTGCCATAATTGTTTTAAAATAAGTGTTGTTTGATGATTTGCTATTTTAAAAGAGTAACGAGAGTTTTTTACGCGGCTTTTTCTCTCGGCTTACACTGACTTCTTTGCCTATGAGTAGGAATGCCTACAGATTCAAATTTAATGACGTGGAATAAGTGATACCTGTGTTCCATAATAAACATATTCTTGAAATTCCCACAGCTATATTTTTTTTGATTCAAGGTGGCGTATTTGTTTTGGATGAGCTTATAAGCTAAACAATGTTACACAGTAGGATAAAGACGCAAGGAAAAAGTGGCTATTCGATACCTACATCATTCCTTGCATCCTTGTAGCTTGTTACATAGACAAAAGTTACTTAGACTTAATTTTTAAATTGTTGTTAAATGTTACAATACAAGTTTTTTAATTGTTATAAATTTTATAAGGCAAGTGATAACTTTAATTCACCCACAGCTGCATTCGTTGCACGTGTCTCTCAAGACAGTTCGATTTCCGGTCATTATCACAAATAAGACGAACGCGAAACCAGCGTTGTGGGTGGGTCATGTCTACAAGCTTAATAAAGCTCGATATAGTTCTAAATTATCCTGATAACAACATCCGGGTGGCATCATATTTCAAATTAGTTTCTGCAGTGGGAATGTTATTACTAATGTCTCAAATTTCACTTGTTTCTTCAAGTGAACAATTTTGACGGCAGCTGTTTTTGCATGCTGAGCGATAATTTACTAATAAATTTAACTTCTCAACTAAACGATATTCACGTCAATAAAAAAAAAGTGTGTGAGTACAAAGTACACAAGTCAGAAGTGAAACTTCTTTGGCAAGTCGTGTTCATATTTATACAAAACTAAAACTAGATTTCCGAGACTTAGAGAAAGATTACATATCTTCCTTTTTCCCTATCTCTAAGTCTCGAATGAATTTAAGGAATTTAATGAATTTAATTGTCATTAAAATATTAAGTGTCGAAAATTAAGACAATAATTAATTTAATTTTTAAATTTATTTATTCGACAATAAAAACACATTTATGGCATTTTAATTTACAATTCGTCAATTGAGATTTTAATATTTTTTTTTGGATAAAATATAAAATACTAATATTTCATAAATTCTCTTTACGAAATTTTATTTTTAAAAATATAATTTCTTTAAGTTAATTCGCCCTTCTCACCCTCTTCTCTCAATCGGTCTCAATCGCTCTCGCCCTTTTCGACAAAAACGCTGCACATCTTCGTGACGCTAAAATTATTATTATTACGTTTCATCCGTAAAAAATTTACCCTCATGCGCCTTAAGAAGTTTCACTTCAAAAATAAAGAGAAAAGACTCTTAGTTGAATATAGTGTTAATACTATGCAAACAAAAACATAACTTGTAAAAAAAACAAGTCTCGCAAGGCAGTTCTACTACTGTAAAAAGTTGTGAGATCCACGTAATACCAAGTCGGTTAATTTATTCCGTCCCTACTTAAGGGATCTTCTGACATAAGTTTTACGTAATTAGCTAACCTGACAATATCTTATAGTGACCATATCAATATTACTTATCTTATGTTTTAAATGAGATATCAAATTGGATGTTACACATTTATGAAATTATCCTTTCTTTGTAATCCTAGAGTTACTAGAACTAAAAGTCTTCTATACCTTAACTCCTACTTAACTGTTACTTTTAATGGTCCAGTAATAACTCATAATTACCAATTCATTACAAACATCGATGAAAATATTGATATATTTTACAACAAACTTCCAACTTACCGTAGCTTTGCCATGCTCTTAATGAGGTTTAAGTTTCTATAATTCTAGTTTTTTATTTTTAAATTATTATTTGGTTTTTTTTGTGGTTGCTTGTATACTTTTCCCCATGCCCCATGCATTGCTTGTTCTTATATAATTGATGTGTATGAGTAAAATTTGTGATGTCATATTTTCTTGTATATGTTATCCAATACACGTTGTTTTAGAACTTATTAACTTATAATATACATATTATTGTTTAAGACAAAACAATCGATTAGGTACTACGAAGCCACATTGGGAGTACTACGCACTGTCTTATCTTCGTACAAAATAAAGAGACGATAAAGTATATATAACAGTTTATATAACAACAACTATTCGACTCATAATCATACATGCATTTGAAGATGTTTATATCGTTAATCACCGCACGAGGTAATGATGGATTACATGATGTAATCTTTACTTTATTCTATATACTAGTTTTAAAGCGTGGTTTAGCTTACATAAGATATTGAACAGGATCACATCAAAGTAGGCCTACTTTTAATAAAGCTTTTTAAACGGATAGTGAGAGCATAGAGATAGTATTTGGTAGACATCCCTACTCATCGGCAAAGACAGAGGGTGTAGGCCGTGAGAAAAAAACCGGCGTAAAAAACTCTCGGTACTCTTTTAAAATAGCAAATCATCAAACAACACTTATTTTAAAACAAATATCGCAAATTAATTAGAAGTAGCCTGTCTAGCACTAGTCCTAGGCCCTTTTATCAACTAGATAATCGTTAACTTTATAGTAAGCCTTTTTACACAGCTTTTCTTTAATACATTTCTTAAATTTATTAAAAGGCAGAGATAAAAGAGCCTCTGGGATTTTATTAAAGCAGAGTATCCCTTTTCCCGAAAAAGAATTACTAACTTTAGATAGTCTAGTACGGGGAAATTGCAGCCTGCGTTTGTTCCGAGTATTAACATTGTGCGTATGTTCTATTCTAGCAAACTTATCACTATTTTTGTATACATACATAATATTTTCATAAATATATTGCGAGTGAAAGGTAAGTATATTAATTTCCTTGAATTTCTCACAGATTCCTTACATTATAAATTATAGATTGCACGAATAGCCCTCTTCAATTGCAGAATATTCATTGAAATATATTTATAAAATTCTTACATTCACAGTGTCTGTAACCAAACTCCAAAACGACCTAAGCGACTTTTATGATTTTTATTTGGTAGGTGACCCGGGGTTTTTTATTATTTGGCATTTAAAATACATAATTAAGTTTCACCTTTCTGCTAACCCCCATTTTTAAATAAAATATCAGTAATCAGCTAGTTATGTTATAAATTATATTATTATGAAGGTCGCCTAATCTAATGATAAAACTAGCTTTCACCTTACATTAAACCCAAAAACACAATTTATCGAATAAATATATCTGCTGATGTATTGATTTTTACATCGCCTAACTCGAATACCACGTACTTCTTTCATGGTCATCTCCCGTTCCTTTGCCGAAGGATATCAAAAACCTTAGTTAATACTGACATCATAAAATTCGTCAACTGATAATAAATCTGGTTTTGATATTGGTAAATCACGGAGCAAAATTGCATCCACAGTTTCGACGTTGGGTGATAATTATTTACTTCACAATAATATATTTAAATGACCCAATAACGTTATATAGGCAAATGAACTCTTGCCCCTTATCATTCATAAATTGTATGCTACAAATGATTTACATACATATACATTTTTATATCAGAATTGTTACTAAGCACGCGAAATGTCAAGAGTTTTATTTTGTCATAATTCCAAAACGAATCTGGTTCGACTATATATAATATAAAAAATGAATCACAAAATGTGTTGGTAAGCGCATAACTCAACAACGCCTGGACCAATTTGGCCAATTCTTTTTTTATAATATTCCTTGAAGTACGAGGATGGTTCTTACAGAGAGAAAAATTAAAAAAAAACGAGTGTTAAAGACTAAAAACAACACTTTTCTATATACAAAAGATTCGTAATAATATTTAGAAGTCAATTTGAACTTTAATATTAATACCATACCATAAAGTTTAAGTGTTAGTGGAGGGGTTCCGGGAAGGTAAATTTTAAATTTTGACATAATGTATTTGTTGTCTTATCAACTTTCTTTTTTTTCATCTTACTAGCTAGACCGGTGTCCCGAATAGCAGAATAAGTATTTAAAAAAAATAAAGAATCGACTGTTAGGCGGTACGATGTTCGCCAGGCCAGCTAGTAAAGAAATACATATCTATAAAAAGAAAGTTTCGTTTGGCGAATGCGATTTCCGTTGCAGAATGTTTATATGTTATAAATAAACTTTTTAGCATAAACAAGCCTTGATATTACGAAGCTTAAATGTGCTTTTGAGACTAAAACCTAAAAATACGTGACATTTAACGCGAGTGGTTTATTTGAATTGATAATTTTTAATCATTTTTATGCATAGGTAATTTATAAGGTTTAATTAACAGAAAGGTTAGATTTGTAAGCTTTTAAGTTTTTATAATATATTAATTTACATATTGTCTACTTTATGGCTTGAAATATTGAAGACATAACAGTTCCAATAAACAATTGATTTAAAAATCATGGTTAACACGTTATATACACCAATAAAATCAATGATCGAAAACAATAAAAAAAACAAGTTCTCTGGTTACAAGAACTTCTCGAGTATAAAATTTACTATGTAGCTTATCAATTGCATAATAAGATTGTATCTATTGCATTTTCTAATAAAAACACAACCCAAGCAAGATGTAAAAGCATGTTCTAGCGTGTGAGCTGCAATGCGAACCGCAGTACACACATTTTCCTGTCCATATAAACTCCAATTTCAACGTATATAAAAAATTTAAGCCTTTGGTCAAAGGTTTCAAAGGTTTTTTACACAGCTTTCATAAAGTAGGTGAGAGCGTGTCACTGGGAGGCGTAGCAAACAAGTGAAACACTGCAACTTTGACGTCGACACTCGTGAAATTAATGAGAAAAATCCGGGAAAAAGCGTTGCTGTAGGTGCATACTTAAGCCACTTTAGTTTTCATTCTGTTCGAATGTTTTATTTATAGCTTATTTTTGTATGCTTAATGCTTATGTTTAATTCTAAGTATGTAGTGAGAAAGTTTTCATTGCTATAATAAATGCCTTTTTTTTTATAGAACAGGGGGCAAACGGGCAGGAGGCTCACCTCATGTTAAGTGATACAGCCGCCCATGGACACTCTCAATGCCAGGAGCTTCACGAGTGCGTTGCCGGCCTTTTAAGAATTGCTTAAATAAAAGCTTTATTATATTTTTGTATGAACAACTGATACTTCATAATTAGTGTTTATATCATGCACAAGATTCAGATTCAGATTTGACAATAAGATATCTTCTACATTGTTTAAAAAGTTCTCTTGGAATTGTATAAATATATACTAGGCATTCCTAAAAAACAATGGAATCAAACTAGATAGATTTGAAAATTCAAAAGACTCTCTTCCATAATTGTTTAGGATATAGATGTAAAAATTTAATTTACAGAAGACTAGACAATACTTGTGTATGTTTTTTAGCAATATTTACTCTAACATTTACCCCACAATTATTTTTTATAAAATTAAGCTAAGCACTTGAAAAATATAAATTAACTATAAAAATTAAAATTAAGCACTTTTTGTGGATAGCACTTATGCGAACAGGTTTTTAAACAAAGTCTATTTTTTTATATTAATAGACAAACACATCAGGAAACATTTTTTTCTAATATATTTGTTTAATTTGAATTTATATGGTGATTGGTATCATTATTTATCAAAATTCTATACATAGCAAATAAAACTGTGAAAAGAAACAGCCAGAAATCATTCAAGTTCATCGAGTGAAGGTATGCAATAGGATGTCAAGGATACCAGCTCAAAATTGCTCATTAACTGTATTATGCAATAAATTGCGCTATACTGCCATCAGAACATATCATATATGTTTTGAGTCTGAGCTCTGTATACTCTGATTAGATTCTTCACGGTAAGCACAGCTTGGTACAGTCACATCACGGATCAGTAATGTGACTGATAATAAATAAAAAAAAATTAAATTTTTTCACCTAAGCCTGATTATATTATAAAATAAATATTTGATTCTATTTAAACAGTTTAACATCAGATTTCTACAAAACTATAAAGATAAACCTAGAATTAAGACCTGATACCACAGCCCACCAAGCTTTAGCCATAGGGTTAGAACTAAATGGGTTTAAAAATAAAATTTAGCTGTGCACTGAAGGTATGTTTTATTCAATCACATGATTGTTGTCACTATGCCATTTTTTTAGTTAATTAAGTTTAGTTAGTTTTAGTTAGTTAGTTAAGCTGTTAAATTATTATTACAAATTTAATATTAAATCTGGCATAAGTTACAAGTGCTTGTTATATTTTAAATATGTTAATAATTTTAGCTCTTTAGTTGTTTTCCTCTACAGTAATTTTTGCATTTATCAATTACAGTTTTAGATACATTCAAAAAAACAATGAAAAACTATTTCCATATTATAATAGCATCAAAATGAGCACCCGTTTTGTTAAATCAATTATCTAAACATTGAAATAAGGAAATATCTCTTTAACAATAATTAATATGAATACATTACCATTTAGTGATATTGTTCTATATTTATAGTAGTTTAAGTAGATTTTGTCTATTGTTCCTATCCATTGTTAAGGTTTATTAATGTATTATCATTAAATTTTTGAATATTTTATCTATTTGGGTATTGGGACCTGTATGAAACATAAGCATGAAAGTATAACAGCAATAAAAACATTGTCATTCAAAACACATGGTATTATTATTTCAAGGTTTCAGAAATAACTGTAACAAATTTACTTTCTAAATAACCTTAAATATGCAAAAGTGAGTTTGCTTGTCCTAATTTTACAGAAAGTTGTTGTTTTCATACTATTTTATTTATGTATTATAAAATCAAAATACTACTTAATATGCATTTACTTCTGTATGTTTTAAATGAATAATAAATGTAATGCACTAAGCTAAAATAATAATAATAACTTTTTACAATAAATATCTGAAACCCAGGTTATGTTAGCTATTACTTTCTAATTATTGTTTACAAGTACAAGTAATATATATGACTTCTAAACTGGTAGAATTTAGAAACAAGAATGTTTCATGTAGTTTCCAAATGATTATATCTACTGTTATAAAGATAATGAATGATCACTTACCTAAGCAGTATGACTAGCATTACGAATAGCGAAATGAGAGCGCCTATCATAATAAAAATATTGGGCAAATCAGCCAGCGTTAGCCCCGTCGAACCCATATTGTCTTATCACAAACAAAACACGAAATAGTACGAAAAAGTACGGCGCATTCAGCTTATTGTACAAACACAACACTGAAATATTAACACAAGGAACATCGCCGAAACTCAAAGGAAAATAATCAGTTTATTTCAACATTACACTGTAGTTAGCTAAGTAGCCAACGTCTTTACTCCGTTGCATCAATATTATATCTATTAACCTTGCCGATAACGATGTTTTGATTGCGTCCGATCAACAATAACATTATTGCCCGTCAATAATTAACATTGATCGAAATAAAAAGGCGAGAGTTTCGCGCATACCGCACCTTACTATTAATTTGACAGAGAGAAAAATGAAAATAGAACGAAGGATGGAAACTCGCCGTTCACAGTTCATCAGTCAAGAACGAAAGTATTCATGTCAACGTTAATGACATTGTCAAACCTGTTTTAGTGTTGCCATTTAATTCTTTTTTTCACAGATATACAGCGGAAATTTATATAATTTAAAAAAAATTGGGAAAGTTATATTCTTGTATTATGTATAAATTAAATGTTAAAAACATTGCTAATGATTTTAATTCAATTTATTCCCTGTTCAATTAAATTTTTGAAAATTTTACTTAGCTAATACATGGATTTTATTCCAAACACAATACCCGCGGAAATATTAATGTTACCAATTATTCTTGATATTCTCAATATACTAGCAACATATAAGAACGAATATTACTGAATGTAAAAAACCAGCTGACTACTATGAAGACGACCGACCCGACAAAGAAGCAAATATATTTATCTCTGTTTGATCTGTGAAATTATATTATAACGTATTACAATAGAATAGTGATAACGACGATAAACGATTTCATTTTTTTTTAACACAGAGTGACTGAATTTAAGCAGTATACTCATACAGACATACTTTTTTACACACTTTATATTAGCTTCACCTGTATGTATGTAACCGACTCCTTCGGACTCGATTTTGACCCACTTTAAACGGACAGATTTAATTTAAACTTTGTACACTTATAAAGAATCAGCGACAGTATAATAATTTCATAGGTTTATCTCGAAAAAACAATGAAATTTTTTTTAAGTCCACAAAGCAATACGATTAAATTGAGACAACACGTATTGCTGCTAGGACTAAAATGTATTATTGTACTGGTATTATTGTGAAAAAGCGTGGGGCGCTCTGAGCCATATTTTTCGTCTATCAAGCAACCCACGATTTTTCACAATAAAACCAGTATTTTTTGTTCATTACCATTTTCAGCCTAAATTAGGAATTATTTTTCACTTTTTAGTAGATGTGCTTTAAAAGCGTGTTTTATAGTTTTTTTTACCTATATTTATTCTTTTAATAATAATATAAGGCAATATTCAACCTTCTTGATTTCTGTATAACATTTTAACCTTTTCATTGCTTCTTTTAATAGAGCGGCTAAAAGAAACAATACAAAAATATTATAGGCCGTATCAACCTGCCTACCCTTTTTTAGCACCTTTAAAGTTACGTTTTTTTTTTATTTCTAATTAAATTAGTATCTAAGCACCTTTAATGGTATGATAGCATAATTATTTTCATAGGTACCTTAACTTTTACCTAGAATATGATATTAAGGTGCTTATATTATGTCTTATAGATACTTAAATATTAAATCCTGCTTTTTAATTAGTTTTTCAGCGGTCTTTCAGAAGTATATCTAGGATAGTATATACAAGTGACCCGCGGTTGTCATGTAAACAACAGAAACTGTAAACAAACCAACGGACCTCGATCGATATATTTCCATAATTTTAGTAAAACCTTCGTGGCTTTCGTACCAGCAGCAGGCTTGGCCTAATTAAAAAATAAATGTCAAGTCTCAAAAAGCCGCGAAATAGTTAAATGTCAAAGTGATCTTCGAATTAAAGTGTTGTTGTTCATCAAGTCTTCAAAGTGTGGAACAACGTGGCTTCCTGTATGGAGAAATGGTTCGGTGATAAGCGGTTATGGTTATTTGGTAATAACCTGCCACTGCTGCCGAGGAGGTGCGCTTGAACTTTCTTTTTCAACTTTCGCGAGAAAACACAAATATTGAACAACGTCAAATATGTACTATTGCCTACCTTTATAATATTGTGACTTTCTACTAGTAAACATGATTTAAAAAAATGATTGAATAGTTCGAACAAACCTCTTTATAAGTGTTGATGGTTAAGGTAAATATTTTCATATTATTAGGAAGAGTATCATGTTGTTAATTAATGGTTAAATATTGAAATTAGTTAAGTACAGGTAGAATCAATAAGCACGTTTGGATAATTTGTCAGCTTGATCGTATAATAGATCATTTCATGATCAGACAAATAGTATAGAATACATTTCCCTATTAATTTGTTGAAAAGAATTAAAATTTTCTCAAGTACTTTTAGTAATAATATTATGGACACGCAACTTCAGTTACATTTTAACGAACACCTGTACTGTGTACAACCTTTACTGTACCTAAATAAAGAAAATTTTAATAATACCGTAAATATATATTATAGATTATATACATATGCATTTATATATTCCATACTTTTTGAAATTAATTAACTATGTACTTTCATACTATATCATAATTTATATAAAGTAACCTATGTTTTTGGGTAAATATTTTTAAACAAATTAAAGATCATTTATTTATATAGGTAATATAATGTACATTTAAAAACGTTACGGAAAATATGAATTATTCTAAAATATATACATTTACCACCATTGCGTAATGGTGTAGAACGGAAGAGAAGAGCTGGCCAGAAACTCCGCTATTCTCTCTACCTCTTTTTAATTTATTTTACAAGATCATGCTCCACGCAACATCTTTCATAAATAATACATTTGTACACATTGTATTCGAATAATTCTCTTGTTACAAAACTAATTACCTTATACTGTAATGAAATAAAAGCGTATCAAGAAATTCCACAACGGAAAATCGATGTAATCGGTTTATACAATTTTATCGGTCATTGTTTTGAGCGTAATATGAAAATGTAATTGAAACCAACGTTGAAGCATAAAGGTTTATTACCCAAGTATAATATAAATCATACTCAGAACAAAAAAGAATACAAAAATGGTATTATGTTGGTTATTCACGAAGGAACTTTTTAAAGAATGTACAAATAATAGTACTCCGATGCTACTAAGAATAATAACAAAACCACAGATAATCAAATCATCTATTCGAATGTCAAAAAAGAAATTAAAAGTCCAAGGGTCTGTTTCACAATGTACGAATAAGTTCTACATAAGTTCCAAATTAGCTATTTATTACTTATTGGTAGGATAAACACTATTGTTGCGTTTCACGACTGTCAGATAGCGCTATTCGTCACATAAAGTCGATCATAAGTTATGAGTCAGATGAAGTGTCAAATAGCACAATTTATCTTCCAAATAATTTATGTGTTGCATATCTATTTGGTACTTTATCCATACATTGTGAAACAGACCCTAAATCTACTGCCATATACACACTACACAATTTTAAAGTTTTGAGATTTTTTGTGTTTATTTTCAAAAGTTATATGTATATTATTTACGGTAATAGAAAAATAGTCTGTAGGCAATTTCTTTTCTATACTTTGTTGTCATAAATATATAAGTATCGTATTTATTACGGGCTGATACATTTAACTAATCAGTACCATTACCGTTAGCCAGTAGTACCGTTACCCATAACTAAATACAGCAATTTAACAGGACTTAATAAATTACAGCTTAGTTAAGCTTAATAAAAATTGTAGCCAATTTATAACACTTTCCTAGATTACGTAAACTTAATCGATACTGTTATCTTAGTCGATTAGTAATAAAAGATATAATTACTTATTTCAAATTATAATGATAACATTGTTATGAAATCAAAACTTGTTCAGATAAGTTATTGTGATATAAAAATTTGATGGTTGGTTTTTTGCATCATCTCAGATAGGCCCAGTGAACTACACCAGAGAAAGCTCTCGAAATGTGTCTTTATAACAAAACTTCGCTTTTGCGATTTTAAATTATTGTACTTCACTATCAGAAGATAAAAAACAATGAAATAATAACTTTTAACATAAATATTTAAGCCTGGTCCTCAGATTTCTGTATCTGTTTCGTGCTCATTTTTGTTTGACACTCGGCGTCCATTTGTTGGGTCTAAGGCATTGTGGTTTCCTCAGCATGTTTTCCTTCACCGTACGTAGTGTTAAATGCGCACATAAACAGAAAGTCCATTGCACAGCCGGGGAATCTTATGAGAGTCGCACGCTGAAATAAAACAACACTTATTTTATTAAATAAGCTGTATAAATAATAACAGTTTAAAAATATGTATGCTACTAAAAAGAAAAAAAAACTAAAAAAAAAGACTAAAGAAAGACGTTTTGTAAGACTCAAAAAACTCCTTAAGACGATTAAAACCTACGTTACGCATCTTTCAAATTTCTCTTAAAAATACTACGCAACTGATTTCTGCCACACCCGAAGTGACAGAACAAAATTGAGCTCAAATGAATGTTTCATATAGTAATATTTGGTTTTAAAAGTATTTTTTAGATATCTTAAGTTTACTAAACGATGCTTATGAAGGATAAAACTTGACACTGTATATCTGTATGACTAAATTACAGTAAATAATATGAAAGGAGAAATTAATTTGAGTATTGTTGCTCCCGATGTTGTCTGTGCAAGGTATATGTTTGGGTGCGTCTTTATATTCTAAAACGAATGTTTAGCGGGTTTAGTTAAGATGCCTTAACAGTAGTGTATGTAGAAAGTCGAAAACTCCACACTACTACAAATGGTAATGGCTTAGAGATGGTAACAGTCATCTATGTGGAACATCCAGAGAGAGAGATAGCAGTAACTAGATAATAAGAATATATATATATATGGAAGCACTTATAAATCTTTCAGAGAAGAGTGTCTGTTATAGAAATAATACTTCACAGAGGCTTTGTTTCCGGCAAAATAATAATGATTTTGTGTCTGGAAGGCACAGTTCCTAAGGTTTATGAAGTGTCATAGAAGTGACTGCTATATTCATGAAACTGAAATAATTTAAAATATTAAACCCTCGGACTATAAACTAGTACCTTTTAAATTTGTTGATATAAATTATTGACTCTTAATACTTAATAGAAATTGTAGAGACTATCCTTCCAGGTCCCGCGCCTCCAGCCGAGCGATGGAACGCTACGAAAAGCTGGCTAAGCTTGGTGAAGGTTCCTATGGCCTCGTATACAAGTGTCGAAATCGAGAGACCGGGGAGATAGTCGCCATCAAGAAGTTCGTGGAGAATGAAGACGATCCACTCATACGAAAAATTGCGCTTAGAGAAATTCGGATGCTGAAGGTTGGTTAAATCAATTGTAAGCAGTGCGTTGAGGTTCACAATCTTTCGACAGTTCACAATCTCGCGAGATAGATTACAATCTAACGGTGTTTACAATTTTACGGTGACATAACTAATACAGACTTTTATTTTTTTATTCACAAAAATACATACACTACCCTTACAGTAAGGCAATACGATAATGTCGAAATTAAAAATAAAATATATTAAATGCATAAAATATACAATATACTGTGGCTCTGCAAACATATAAGATACATATAAGAACCGATAGTGTCGGAGGCAGGCCACAGTAAGCGCAACGTCTTTGTCAAGAGGGATCTGTGCTAAAGACTGGTTCTGGCCATTGGTATCGCAAACAACCTTGGCCGTCGCCGTCGCACATATCGGTACAAACTACAAAGGTACAAAGAAACCAAGTTCTCGAAGAACACTTAGTTTGCTCACCACCCGCAAGACTTTAAGTAGGTCAACTGTAAATCCTGTCTGACAAGAGAAAGGGGGGGATAAATTGAAGTAAATCTTCTTACGTAATACTTGAACAACCCGACTCTTTAGGTAAGGACCAACAAGAAAGCTTTCAATTCGAACCAGAATTTCCTGGGATTAGCGCATTCTAACAAATAAATAATCTCTTTAAGTCGATATCGGCTTAAAACCTACCTTTTGTAGAGTTATTAAATATGTTCGCATATATGGCTTGTGTCACGAGGCGGAAGAAAACATTTAACTTTTTCACACAATGACGTAAAACTCTCAACACCATTAATTTGTGAAATGACTTGTATTTTCCGGAAGGGTCGTTTCGTGTTCGTGTAGCCATATAAATCAACAGCAAAAAGATTTTGGTTCAAAATGAACATATAAATTATTTTATTTTCGCGTATAGCATAAATGTATAACAAAAAATTTATTTCTTAAACCCAAGGTCGTATGTGAATTCAAATTATAACGTCTAATTATTAAATTAATTTAAGGTTTCAGGTAAGATTTTGAGGTTTATTGTACGAATTATTCCGAATTAAAAGTAAGGATTAGATCTCATCGGTGTGTTTATACAGTTTGCATGGTCAAAGATTGATGTTGATTATAGGGAAGGGCAACTATTGTGGAGGCCCACTACAGCGCCATCAGAAAACAATATTTTAAATTCCGACTAGTAAACACTAAACAACTTTTCTTTTTATATGTTTGTTAAATACTAAAAGAATCTACTTGGTTTGACAACAAATTTATTGAAATTGATAAAATTCATTGATTGGTTGAAAAACTCGACTGGATTTTTTTAAAATTTTATTCGGAAAATAATTTGGGGCCAGGAGTCACCACTTCTTTGTTGCCCCGAAACCTCCCGACTACTAAGCCAGCCCTGTGTCTGAAGTTATATACTTTGTTAGTAATTAAAATCTGCGATTTAAAGCCTTCAAAAGCGATTATCGTGGATAAAGTGTTAACCTGACTATACACTTTAGCTTGGAACTTGTTGGTTTAAATATGAAGTCTGTATTACTATTGATGAGCTGACACTTAGGTCCGTATTCTAGAATGTGATACAAACTTAAATCTAGTTTCAAAGGTCATGAGATCACTTGAGATGCGTATTATATAAAGGACATTATTATCTATATTTATAAAAACTAAATTAGTCTGACAGTTACCTAAACTATTAACCTCTCTTACAAAAGGTTTCCTTTGAAAAAAGACCATTTATTTCTCATAAATATAGGGAATTTGTCTTCATATTATAAAGAAAAAAATAATTTTTCTTTAGAACCTGAAACACCCAAACCTCGTGAACCTGATCGAAGTGTTCCGCCGCAAACGCAAGCTGCATCTAGTCTTTGAGTACTGCGACCACACCGTGCTTCATGAAATGGAGAAGTACCCAGCTGTAAGTAAGCAAATGCCTAGTTGACCTAAGCGATGTACATACGTACGTATTATGAGAGTGAACGAAGTAACTGAGGTCGTTGTTGCTGTAAGTATTACTTTGGAAGAGCTTAAGTGACTTTTAAACTAAAATGGCTGCACTTTTTTGCGTTTGAAGCACGGTAACATAATACCGGTATAGCAATTAGCGAAAATGGTAATTCGCACTCGTTTGAACTAAAACGAGTAGGTATGTTTCGTAATGCCCGGTCACGTGTAACCTTTAATCGAATGGTTCAGTATGGAAATAGTGAATAGTACAGTAGTTATTAAAACAATGTCTTTTAGGGTAAGATTCGACTGGACTTTCAAGATTTAGCGCGAACTTGACTCCCTTATGTCAAAATCCAATACAATTTTGGCGTTTCTGAATCTTACTCTAAGTGCCAATGCGTAAAGCTTACTGCTATTTTGCACCCAAATCTAGAATAATTACTCCATAAGTATAATAAAAAAAGGATAGTATATTATATTATTTATGGGTTGTAAAATAGTATTAAACACACTCTCCCACATACACTCACATTCACCCTCTCACCTTACTCACAAGGAGAACACTTAAACACTCCACACCATAGTATAACTAATTATTAAATACATAGATTGTATAAATAAAGGTATACATATTCGAATTATCACACATACACTGTACGCACACTCACCTACACACACAACACTCACATACACACACACACACACACACACACTCACATACACACACCCTCGCATACGCCCATAAAACATTATTTCTACTTACTTTTAATTAGTTGACTGTTTTGTTTTTCTTTCCTTATTTTAAATTTGTTTGCCTACCCATATATGTATGTACTTTTTGTTACCACTCAATATGACTCTGCTGTGGAATGGAAGCCTAATTATCCATATCACAGGTTCTTACTTCTTACCTAGTTTGGAAACCAGTCTCCCAATACCTTCTCAACTGTAATCTTATTGTTTGTTGTAAATGTTATATGGGAAATAAATGCTAAATGCTTAAATAATATAGATTGCATATTCATTTAGTTTCGCTCAAATGATTACTAAACCAGACCAACATTGCCCCAATGCCTTAAAAGAACATGTCGTCACTCGCGTGCGGTTCATACACGTGTTCCTTACGTAGGAGATGGGTAATTATAACATTCTTTGTTAATAACTGCAGAGCCAGGGCCACGGTATGTACCACAAACATTGTGTAAACATGTTAGAATTTTTTACGTATTATGTAACTTAATGTGTAAAAACCAATGTGAATTAAAAAAACGTGAGGCACTCGGGGACTGCCGCGGTAAAGCTATTGCATAGCATTTTTTATCAACTTATGTAATTATAATTTTTTATTTATGCAGTATTTTTTTTCTTTGATATTAATTCCATAATATACAGTCTGTCTCACTCTAACGCGTACCGGCTGCGCCCGATATGAGACGTCACGTTACGTCATCGTGTGTTAGGTTGTTTTCGTTACGGAATTTCTGTATTCGGTCTCCACGCTTAAGGCCCGCGATAGAAGCTATGCAATAGCTTAAAATTTAAATATAAAGGGAGCTTTGAAATTTCTTCACACTACTGTATGTTTATTTATTTATTAAGTCATAAAACAACATGTATGCTTAAATACAAGAAAATATGACGTCACAAACTTTACACACATCGATTATATTAGAAGATAAAAGTTTCAAACTAGAGTTAAGTTCGGTGGCGGTTGTTAGAGGGATGTTTTTTTTTTTAAATATTATGGCAATAGTTTTAACTTTATGCCATAGGGGGATGTTCAAATGAATTAAACTCTTTGAAGCTATGTGTCAACTGTTTTTAATCGTATAAAGCTTGAGGTTATAACTAATATTAAATTAGGGGTAGTGGGGTTGCGACGATAGACTAACAAAAAACTAATTTGACTTATTGAAGGGTTCTTAAATCTAAGTGACACTTATATTACCTATAAAGAATATAAGAATTGACCTATTGGATATTATCGGAAACGAAAATGTTATATTACAATTTATGAGTGTAGGAAAAACTAAAGGACACAATACTAAACTGACATTTTACAATTATTGGCTACGAGTGTAAGATGATTGCTAACATTTGCTTTACGCTCACTCTTGCAAGGGAAAAATTAAACACAAGCAAACAGTAATAAATTAAAACTAATGTTTAAAGTACTTTATTTCTCATTACAAAAATAATGTTTTTTTATTTACATGAGAAAATAGTATACGAACGAGATACACGTCGCCATCAGCCGTCCCAATTTTAGTCTACCAGGCTCATTATGATATGAATCTTTAATGCCCTTTTGAATTGGTTAAACGCGCTAATATTACGAAGTAATTGATTAAATAATTGCACACCCTCATACTTAATAGACTTCTTCAAATAATTTGTACGCGGCTTCGGCAAAATAAGCAAACTAATTAAAAAATAAAAGGGTGCTTCTTTGGCATTATTAAAAATAGTTTTTGATTGCATGCAAATAATTAAATAATCAAAGACTGGAAAAGGAGTCATTATAGTCCATTAAGTTCAGTTTACATTTGAAAAATTAAATAAATAAATATTTATTATTATTCTCTTACATTAAGTGTAACATAAATTCTATTATTATTCGAATGTTGTTTTTAAATTATGTCCATTGCCGTCGCATCTTCCGTGGGCAACTTCATTCTGTTAATTTTGTGTCACGGTGCGCGCGCATCGTAAAATTTCACTCTCATCAATTTATTCATAACGCGCCTAAAGAAGTATAACTTCAATAAATAAATAATAATAAATCGTTTATTTGCAAAGAAGTTGTACATTCAAATTGATTAATTATAAAAAAAGATGGTAGCTAGGTATAATTAAGTTTAATTACACGAAAAAAACATCGCGGTGACAAACAAGACTTTCTTTTATCGTTTTATTCAAGGATTTTACGACCTACAAATGTATAGGTATTAGAATACACACACAAAATACCTTAATCAAAAGCGATCAACAAATACGTAATCTTGTATGATGTTATTGCTATATTCAAAAAGGTTTCGTTGCAACATCCAGCTAGCGATTCGAAGGTCGAATTACGCAGTGGACATGGCAGTTGTAGTCGTTTCCTAATTTATATGATAGCTGTTTCTGATACAATTAGCGGGTTTCAATGTTTTTACAAAATTGTATTTACATATTTCAAAAAATCATGTGTCGGCAGAAATAGGTATATATTAATAATTATAAACAATATCTACGAATAATTTTAATAATTAATTAATGTGTGTAGATCAATTAACTATTAACAATATTAAAGTATTAATGATCACGACGTAGATAAAACGAAAAGCACAAAGCTTAAAACCTAGCGCCTTAGCTTTCCAAACTGTCAATATGGCGTCGCTCATGATTTCCAAAGAACAGTCAGAAGTCAGAACTCAGATGTCTAACAAATGGCCTAACGATTTGCCAGCCAGTATATTTAATGTTGTAACAAATGATACGGCTAAATATCGTACATGCACATATCTTTATAACTGCAAATAACATGAAGAATTCTGTTCACTTTCATTCAATGGTAAAAGGTTGTTCATTCATGTGAAATGTATTAAATATATTATTATCGGTGTTGTAAATTACAATTGAGAAACATTGCCACTCGCTTTTAGTTTCAACGTTATATTTTTAGTGGAAATATTTGGCAACATTTAAAGCTTGTTGAATGATATCTATTAATTTATATAGAACTGCCTTGCGATTTGGTACTCTCTTTACTTAAAGGAAGTCGAATTGGTTCGGAAATACTTTGGTGGGCAGCTGGTTCCGCATAGTGCGTGGCAAAATGTGCCTTGAAAAACGCTTGCTTGTGGAACGACGAACGTTGAAGTGATACGGGTGGAATTTCGTATTCTCCCTCGACGTCCGATGATGAAACTCAGCTAAAGCTATCAATTTGAACTACTCTGAACATTTAGGATATAACATTTATCGTATAAATAATAATTTGGAAACTTTTACTTTTCCCGCTTTTGATGAAAAGAAATTGCACTAATTTAAAATATGTACTCTTTCTGCCAAATTGTCTCTGGGATGAAAAGAGACTGATTTATAGATGGCTTCTCTTTTAGGGCTGTCCCGAGCTCCTCTCAAAGCAGATTATATGGCAGACGCTTCAAGGCGTGGCGTATTGTCACAGACACAACTGCATACATCGAGATGTGAAACCGGAAAACATTCTGCTGACCGGCGATGGTGTGGTCAAGTTATGCGATTTTGGCTTCGCGAGGATGATCAGTGCGTATTCCATTCAACTCAAACTAACTTTATTCATATAGGTAACCAAGTACACTTATGAACGTAAAAATATGTTATTATGATTCTAAATTTACTACCAGTTCACAAGTCAAGGGCGTAAAGCCGGCAAGAAAATCTCCGCCACTCTTTTTGATCGCCAAGTTTTGAGTCATACAAATTGTTTGAACTGGAGCAAATCGATCCCAAGGATTAGGATCATTTAAATAATCGTCAAATCGTCAAGCATTATTGATTAATTTACGTTTAACGATAGTTTTAATTTATTCAGTGATAATTCTCTAATTTCGCTTGGGAGTTTGTCGTAAAAACGAATACAATTTCCATATATAGCAGTGGTTTATCTTCTGGATCCTGGTTGGTCGTACGCTTAGATTAGTTCTGTTTCGAGTATTATACTGGTGAAAGTCACCATTTGTTTTAAAATGGTTTATATTTTTTGTACATACAATGCTTCAAGAATATATTGACCAGAATATTTAATTCTTGAAATAAGCGTGATATTATTATAACATATTCCTTTTATCAACAGATTATAGACCAGTAGATATTTTACTACATAACTATTTATTAAGTAGTAAGCAATGTAGTTTAGTATTAACGTTATAACCCCCACTAATACTTCCTAATAACCCTATTTCAGTTTCATTTTTCCTTACCCTTGATACCTTCCTCCAGGTGGCACATGTTCATCAGAATACTCAGTCCACACCATGATCCCATTTGGAGTTGACGTCAGAAGGAGAGCCAGTACCTATTTATTTCTTTTATAGTATAAGATCCCGCTATACAACGACCTTCACCGAGATGCTTATTTAATGAAACTTATTTTATATTTAATTTAATATGTCAATAAATATAATCCATATGGGTTGCCTAGCAAATTTCAGTCCAGAGTATGTTTAATTAATATTTAAAAAAAAAATTTTTTTATAATTTGCATGTAGTAAATTTTTTGAACTTTTTCAATCAATATTTTTAATCAGGGTAGTATTATATATGTATCACTATAACCTTCTTTTATACTAAAGATGTATATATACTTTAGTGTCACATAAAAAATATACACATAAATAATTAATTGATTAAAAACAACCTAACGTTTGCATATTCTATGGGCTTCATACGTTCGATTGGTATAGAATTTATCTAATAATCATACCGGTGAAATGTTTAAAAAAATATTTTTTTTTTAAATTAATTAAACATACTCTGGACTAAAATTTGCTAGGCAACCCATATGGATTATATTTATTGACATATTAAATTATATATAAAATAAGTTTCATTAAATAAGCATCTCGGTGAAGGTCGTTGTATAGCGGGATCTTAGACCATTATTATATAGTAGTCAATATCATCGCAGTGAATATTTTTAGTCATAGTTATAGCTTCGTTAAAGATAGTTTAATTTAAATGTAAATATCTCAACATCAGTACTGGCTTATATAAAAAAAACTTTGATTCTTCATTCATAATTTTTTTATATAACAATGAGCCATTGGGCAGGAGGATCATCTGATGTTAAGTGATACCGCCCATGGACACTCACATTGCGTCGCCGGCCTTTTATCTACACTAATATTATAAAGAGGAAAACTTTGTTTGTTTGTTTGATTGTAATGAATAGGCTCATAAACTACTGGACCGATTTTAAAAATTCTTTCACCATTCGAAAGCTACATTATCCACGAGTAATATAGGCTATATTTAATTTTGAACGAAAATAGGGTTCCGTAAGATATTAGGGTTTTTCGGACACAAGGTGTAAAAAATCAACCAAAAAGTTACTTATTTTGCGTACCCTGCCTAAACTGTTAAATATAGAACCATAAAATGTTCTAAGTAATTGTAGATCTTATAAATATCTACAAAAAAGTCCGCGACACACTATACCTATCTATGTCGAGTGAGGCACAATAACTATAAATGATATAATGACATGGCAAAACGGCGTTTGCCGGATCAGCTAGTGAAATATAATTTTCTTGAAGGAATCAAGTCGATTTGGTTCGAAATACTTCAGTGGGCAGCTGGTTCCACATAGATGTGCGCGGCAAAAACTTAAAAACGCTTAGTTGTGGAAAAGTAAATGTGCAATACGTAATATTTCGTATATTTATAGTTCCAAAATATACTCTTAGCAACTGTTTAATAAATTATTATGCCCCATTTTCCCGCCCTCGCGGCTATTATGTCTACTCATGTAAGGCCTAGGCAAGCATTAAGATGTAGCGTTAAGATAACCCGGTTACTTATCGATGATCGGCCTTCTAAATAGGTTAAAGGCCAGATCTACTATTTTTAGTTCTCGTAATTACTGTAGACAAATAAAGACTATAGTAAGAAATTCTTATTTAAACTGATCACTGGCTTCATTTAGGCCGCTAGTTAAACCGCGCAGTTTAGTTAAGAGGCTGGGCTGTTGACTGAACGGCTAATTAAGCTAGTTGGCTAAGACATTTATTTATAAAAACACTCCCGCCCTAACAGGCGAACCTAAATCGACAAGAGTGAACAATAAGTGAAGAAAATTTATGAATAAATGAATATAAGACGTGAAACAAAAAAAAAGCAAACATACAAAATTAATAAGAAAAAACAAAATTACATAATAAAAAATACATGAAATTAACTAACTACTATAGGCACTAACATATAATAGAACTTTTGCCAGTTCACTCAACGGACAATGAAAAAGGTCCTATACCTATGTAATTCGTTAACTAAATTTACACCGAGTCATATGAGCCCTTTTCAGAAGGTTAGTCCTAGCTGTGGGCACATGAAGTAACGGCGGACGATGTCGCTTTCTGACGTACCCATCAGATACATTGAAGCGAAGGTACTGAAGTACTGCCGAATTACTGTCCTTGCCATGTATCAATTTTATGAAGTACATCACAAACGCGAATTCTCGGCGTACTCTTAGCTCGTTGTAGCCCACAGAATCAAGAATAAAATATAATAGCAATATACAGATAATAGTTTATTAAACTATTCAATATACATAGAACGAAGTAAAAATTGTACCTGATGTTAAGTACGTAAGTACAGCCCTGCGAAAACCGCTGTGTGAGTTCGAAAAGTGAGTTACAGAATAGCAGGGCTGAAGTAAGATACGCATGACAACAAGAGACATCAAGAGACAACAAGGATAATAATTATAAGCTTCGGTCATATTATTTTGCTTGGTCAAATTTCCATTATTTAAAGTCTAGCTGTCATAGTGGTGATACGAAACATAACATCGTTCTTCATAATAATCAGATAATTCTTCATTTCTAATCGAATCGAGATCTTTCCAATTATTTATATCTGTTAAATGTTTCTCTTAAGGTTCTATATAAAAGTTTTCTTTTTTAAATATTTACGGCAAGTAAAAATTACGAATAATTTTTCGATGTAACATGTTTTGCGTGGTTCTAGTATATATAAATGTTTATTAGTTAACATCATTTTTGGACACCCAATACTTTTTTCAGGGTTCCTAGCTCTTACATAACCAAATTTAAGACTTTGACGTTACAATTTTTTTTAATTTACATGTTTTTACAACAAATTGTGTGATTTAATAGATCTTTTAACAAGTAACTACCGAATAATGAATTTCACAATTTTTTATCTATATGTAGTATAGACGAACACTCCACATAAAACAGATTAGGTAAATCTAACGCCCGTGACCCGGGAATGCAATCTATGGGTAAATGTCAAATGTATAAGTTGTGCAACACTGGCAACTTCGCAAGAAAAAACAAATTTATTCCAAAACATATAAAGGTAGGTATACAAGATACCCACCTTTTGACGATTAAAAAAAATTCAAAAATAAGTAACTGCTGCTATAATCTGTTTTTACGTACGTGATAAAATCTTTATTTTTTTACAAAAACTTACATAGTGCACAAAATAAAGCAACAGTTAAGCAATAATAAGGAAATGCTTGTTTGTGTGAGACTGATGAATGTTTAAAGGTAAGAGTACCTGTGTTACAGGTCATCAGGCCCCACTTTGGATCGCCAGAAGGTCTTAAAACGTAGATAATAAAACTACCTGACTCATGAACTCGGGCAGACGCAGTTTATCTCATAAGACCTGTTTAGCATCTGTGTGTTCAGACACATAAATTATATGCATGCAGTGGCGCTAAAGGTCTTGTTATGTGTGGGTAGGTATTATAGGCACGTAGGTGATAAATGTTCTTTACAACACACAGATCTAAGATTTAAGTAAGAAAGTAAACTATTATTGTATAGCCAGCCAGCTCATAGTCAAGATTTGCACGATTAAGACTAAACTATATGTTCTATATGCATTAATGAAATGCATTGAGGACACGCCAATTAAGCCAAGTTTAAAAGTAAATATATCGTAATATCTAATCGAGTAGATGACCTATCACGGTGGTACCTATGTGATGTCAGTGTTAACCACTTATGATATTCTAATCTACCTTATGCATGAGGTATTTTTATTTATTTATTTAGCAGCTGTATTGCAACTGTTTGACGTATACAAAAGAATCTTAGGTAAATATTCCGTATCGCGGCACCAGCGATTTTGAGGCTGATTTTTTTTTACAGTCGCGTGATGCTCTGTAAACATCATAACTAGTATTGTTTTGATGGCGCATGAAAAAAAAAGTATTTATTTAAAAAAAATATTAATATACTAACCTAACCTAACCGAACAATATTAATAATAAGTTTTTTCGACAGGTCCTCCTCCGCCCTTGCGTACCAAAGTACAAAGCACAGGCATTTTATTCAATCCTCCGCGCCTCCGATTTTTTATACACACTCTAGGGGTAAGGCAGACAAGACCACGTCGATAGTGAGGTGCTCTAATTCGGTACTTTTTGTTTTTTTTTTGGCAAAAAAGGTCATGCGCCATCATAACAACACTAGTTATGGTGCTGAGAACTCATGACGAAGTCATTAAAAAAAATCAGCCTCAAAATCGCTGGTGCCGCGATACGGAATATTTACCGAACCTTACATTAAAGCGCTTCTTATTAACGGATAATTACAATTTAGTTCCAAGTACGGTTTTACAAGCCGATAGAAATAGTTTAATACCCAATCGCACTTCTGAATTACCAAAATAATGTTTGAATGATTGTTTATAATATTTATAATGTTATTTTGTTTATACTCACATTACACATGTTAAAACGAGGACAATCAAACACTAATGAAATGAGATGACGTGTGAAAAAAACATGAGAATTTAGCCCCGGATTTGTGGATGGGGCACACAAAAGAGGGGCCTGCCTCCACAATAGAGACTTTAATAATAAAATAATCTAAACTTAGTTTCACAATAAATTTCACATTCTAAATATATAAAACAAAGTCGTGTTAGATACACCACTTCTAACTCAAGATCGGATGGACCGAAGTTACTCTCCGAATAGCATTATAAGTAATAAAATATCGTATAAGTTATCGAATAACAATAAATAAGTTAATTAATTTTACGAATCTGTTGACAAAACACCGCATCATTTTACGTGGAATTCGTGTCAGTTCAAGAAATTCCGATCTTGAGGTGAATGAGGAGATGCATAATCAGGCTTTGATCTTGATCGAAGACATGTGTTACCTCATCAAAAAATGTTTTATATCAGAAAGTGCTTTATCATGCACCACCGCAATATTGGCGCTAGAGAGAAGAAGCCTAATGTGTAAAACGTAATGCACCTAACGTGTAATGTGCCATTCTTCTTTCGCAATGGCAAGCAATAAAACATTTCTGTATTTGGGAGCGTTCAAGTATTACTTCACGCAATTTTTGGAGATTTTTGACCCCCCCCCCCATGTAACGCGCCGTAATGTTTTTCTGTACCCAATAGTAAAACGTTTCGTGACCACCCAGTGACTCTTTATACCTAAGAGTTACCATTATGTGGTGTAAAGTACTCGAAAATAATATGAATAACGCGTAATTCAATCCTCGCCCCGCATCGTAACGTTTTACAAAAAGAACAAAAATTCGTTACGTAATACTTGAACGCCCCCTTTGCGAAAAAAGTTGTATTAATGTTTATTACCTTTAAGTTTAACTAAAGTAACAACGATATTATTAGACTGTCAGGCGGAACGAAGTTAGCCGAGTCAGCTAGTATATAATAATATGAGGCAGACGGCCTACACTCCTTTGTCGACCCAAGGCCTCCAGAACTCAAATCCGGTATTGTAAGAACTTACGAATCAGGCATCACTATGTGAAGACCTGTGGTCAAAAGTTGATATTTGAGAGGTTAAATATATGTAAAAATTTGTGTTTTCTACGAACTTAAGGAAATCGCTGAATATTTATATTCCGTAGAATTTATTACAAATGCAGTAATTTATTAAGCATCGCAATCGTACGATAAAAAATGAAATATGTACGACCTGAATGCTATATTGATGACACCATACATAATGTTCGATATTCATAGCATTGTGTAAACACTTTCGTGTTTAAATTATTACAATAAGGCTTAGAAAAACGTCACGGTCTAAAGTCACGCTTTAAATCCTGGCTGTGCAGTTGTGCACCATTAGATGTTTCTGTTTATGTGCGTTGACCAATGTAAACATCTTGAGGAAACCGACGCGGTGTTTCAAGAACAAGGATGGTGACTTATTATAACATAATGTTAATTATACACATTGTCACAAAATAACTCTTTTTAGTAGATATTTACAGATTCTCAATAAAAACGATCCAAATCGAGAATGAATACTAAATTTATTTAATAATTATATTGGTAACTATGTACATTTATGAACGGCAATACATCCGTGTGATTCGCCTGATCGATTTTAGCAGGGGCACACAGTACTTTTGGTAATTAATCATATAAATCTCAGAACAGGACTATTAAAACAGGAAATTTAAAAAGTGCGACGTTATAACAGTATTCGAGTACTGAGATAAGCATGCCTTAAAGTAAAACCTACCCGATCAGATTTTTCGTTACGCGTAGGCTGGCCAGCTACACTGAGGGTCTAGAAAAAAAGCGAAAGATGGAACGTTCCATTCACGCACATATACTTTACGTATTTCTGTATTAATTAACAGCCATTGTTTCCTTTTTGCTTCGCAATATCAACTCCAAAACACGGAATAAATAAATAATTTTCTAAGTATCAGAATTAGGTTCGTTCATTCGTTCAGTTATCGCTTTCACCATAATATCATTTATAACATATATGATTCATTAACTATGTATTACCTTAGTCAAGCTTACGGTATTACTTGTGGTGCCTACATGATATTCTCATATTAATATTCGTAGGTTAACTAATACCTTTTTAGGGTAAAAGGAATAATATATGTCTTTTCAACGCCTTATGTTATATATATTCACAAACTATAAAAGTTGAATAATATATTCCTCCCTAGATGTCGTAAAACGAAATTTGGCTAACAAACAAAGGATATGTTTATGAACATAATATGAAAGACTTCGAAAATGGAATTTGTAATTACGTTATAAAGTGTTTCCGGGGGGACAGGAAATCCATAGATTAAAGCTTTGATTGTATGGTTTTCATACTCAAGGCCACGCGACCTTCACCTTATCGCTAAACATAGCGGTACCAAGGCCGCTACTTGCGGTTTTTTGTTCGATCAATTAATCATGCAAGATATTTTTGGCACAAAGAAAGTTTAATAGTAGAATAAGCCAAACAAATTCGCTTCATATTTTCCACGACTTCTCAATATAAATATTGTTTATGGTGCTAGTAATGACACATCACAGATAATCTCCAAGCTAAAGGACCAAGCCTTTATTCAAGTAAAACAAAGGACGTTTCTTGTTTTTACTTTGTTACAAGATTCAAGACGTTCAAGGGTATTTGTGTGACATTAAGATGATATTGACCTGACGGGTCGAATGTTTATCCGTACAGTCATATGTGTGCCATCAACGATACTAGTAAATAAACAATATTTTTACAATAAAGTTTATAGTACTCGTATATTAGTTGATACATTCTATACGGCCGCTTAAACAAATATTTGATTGAATGAAATGAATAAGTATAAATGCTTTTTTAGTACAATTAATAATGTAGATAGTTATAAGAAACATGTAAAATAATCTAATATATAAAATTCTCGTGTCACAGTTTTCGTTGCCATACTCCTCCAAAACGGCTCGACCGATTCTCATGAAATTTTGTGTGCATATTGGGTATGTCTGAGAATCGGACAACATCTATTTTTCATCCCCCTAAATGTTAAGGGTAGTCCCTAAATATTTTTTTTTTTTATTTTTAGATATTTTTTTCTGTTTTAATTGTTTATGATACAGTATTAAAAAATACATACAAACCCCTAACTTTCACCCCTCTACGATCAACCCCTATTTTTTTATTATAAATGATATATATGGCAAAACGACGTTTGCCCGGTCAGCTAGTTAGGTCATAAAAATTATTCTGTAAAACCTTATCTTGTCTATTTTGTTTAATTGTATTGGCGAGTGTTAATATGTACTTATTTAAATACAAAATAGTGAATTTAAAGAAAATCAATCATTTAAATTCCAATCGTAATTTTGAATTTTCAACAGGAACAATTTAATATGTAAATTGTATTTACATTGTTTTTTTGTTTTGTATTTAGTTACGCGTAACTTCAATAGCATTTTCATTAACTAACTCAAGGACATTAGATGACATTTGCACTCCCTAACAAAACGTCAACACATCTCACACATTTTATAACGAATAGTCACTTTTATTTGTATTTCTGTATTTCCAACACACAAATGCACAAAAAAGAAGAACAATAAAAACAATAACTAACCTTAACATATAATAACCAAAGTATATTATTAAATAATCCCTTTAGGCATGGTTCCGAAGATACTGGCAGCGTTCCCCCTTTGAGTCGCTAGACTAATTCTTTGTCCGAAGTAGCTGCCAGCTCTTCGGTCACCTGTGATGTCGACTAACCTTTTTGATATTTCCTTAAAAAGCCTTATAACGCTAGGACCACACTGACCACATGGAAGTTGCGTAGTAAGTTAATTATTGGAATGATTAACTAATAAGAAATTCCGTCAACATGCCCAGGTCCGGGTGAGAGCTACACGGATTATGTGGCGACTCGATGGTATCGTGCACCCGAGTTACTTGTAGGAGATACTATGTATAGCATGCCGGTTGACGTATGGGCTATTGGTGAGTATGTTTTGATCTTGTGTTTTAGTCTTCGTGTTTAAATCTTCCAAAGTAGTATTTCAAACTGTACTACATGAGTATTGTGTCCAAAAATAGGACCAGAAGATTTGGAATACAAAGCAAACAATAGTATAACTGAAAAAACACTCTAAGCAGACAAGGAGACGACGTATCTGCTGGAATTTCTATAAAGAGTACCTAAGATGCTGTTAGCCGAAACGATAACATCTGCGGCCTTTTGAAAACTGGAGGAACCAGATTACTAATAAAAAACTAGCTATATATAAAAAAAACAATTGATTAAAGATTCACCAAACCAGAAAAAAATAAATTCTACATGGTGTGCAATTTTTATACTTGTTAAATGATTTTATTTTAGTATAAATGGAAAGATATATTGTCACTGTAGAATGATAATCTCGTATATCAAAAAACCATTTATTTTTATATTCTTAGGCTCTTATGTCAATTAATTGGTATAATCATGAAGTAAGAACTTACTTATGTTATTAATAAATAAGTCCTTTTTACTATCTAAGACTATGGACAAAAACACATAATAATAATTTAACGAACATTGACGAAATTAAACATTTTTCGTTTCCTGTAAAGTTTGGTTCTCTGGACATACGAGGTTATCATTCTACAGCGACGATATGTAGGTAGTCACTCTACCTAGACGTCGATTTATTGTAAGCATTTTATAGAGAAGCCAAGAATTATTAATTATCTTACAAGTTACATCTTACAGAAGCATTTTTTTTTATTTCAGGCTGTGTGTTTGCGGAGTTACTCTCAAGTGAAGCTCTTTGGCCGGGGAAGAGTGACTTGGACCAGCTGTATTTAATCAGAAAAACACTTGGAGATCTCTTACCGAGACACATGACGATTTTCTCACAGAATTCATTTTTTCAAGTAATGATTTAATTCGATAACATCTACTTGCCCGTTCTTCTCAGAACAAGGCCTCCTGGTAGTTATGCGAACGGATGGCGAAGTCTTGTTCTTTCGCGAATTTTGTAAACGTTTTTGACATTCATAAGCATGCCCTAAGACGCATCTAAACTGAATAAACGTATTTTGTTTTGATTTGATTGATTGAAATATTTTAAAGATTTTCTAGTTAAATTTATGCTAAATATAATTTTTTAGTATACATGATTAATAAATATTTTTCTCATAACTATTTCAATAAATATTTAAACATTTATCACAAACTGTGTGATTTGCTGTTAAGATTTTCGTAGGCGCTAAGAAATTTGCTATATTATAATTAATTTCGTAGTATTCGTATTGCAGTAGAAGTGTAAGATAGGTTGTTAGGCAGAAAAACAGAATATAGGTCTCAACTATAAATAAAAAACAAATAAATTTTTACTAATACTGTAAAGAGGAAAGATTTGTAAGTATGTTTGTAACGAATTGGCTCAAAAAGTACTGGACCGATTTGAAAAATTCTTACGCCATTTGAATATGTAACATTACTTATCACTGAATAATATATGCTATTTTACTTGCAAGAAAAAATAAGGATCCCTACTAACACTACAATAATGTTACCCAAGGTGTAAAAAATGCTTATAAAATATCTTTTATCGCATGCGTTGCGAAAACTATTGATAGAACAAATAACTGTTCCACAATAATAAAGAACTTTATTTAAATTAAATTTTATTGATGATAAATTCTAATAGAAGAGCTAATATCCGAGGGTTTAGCTGAAAATTATCATTCGTAAATATTTCAGGGCTTGGCGTTACCAGAACCGACAACAGTTGAGAACCTGGAGAAGAAAATCCCATCAAGATACGCGAATAATGAATTGATTGTCGACTTTTTGACAGTAAGCACTGGATTTTTTTACATAATATTGTAATAAGTAAAATTTGCGTTAAGCAATAAGTTTTCCAGCTTTCTTTTTTTCAAAATGTTTGTCTTAGTGACGCACCTTAATGTATAAATTTTTGTTAAACAAGTCTAGTCGAGAATTTGTAAAATTACGGAGTAATAAACTATTAAGCTGGGATGCCTTCAATGAAAGGCAACGCATCATCAAAGATAAAAACTTACAAGTTATTCCGTTCTTATAGTCCTTAGTCAAATATAAAAGACGCAGAGGTATGAAAATTTAAATGGAGTTTTTATAAAGGGATATCCACGCTATCTACATCGATTTTTATATTCAGATGAATTTCCATTTACTCTACAATTAAATAAACCATCTACAATTCCGTAACGGGAATCGTACGCACGGCCTCAGGGTTGAGAATTGTAACGACTATTGCTTTGTTTTTAATTAGTGGGTTGATATTTTAGAGATGCTTAGACAAAGACCCAATGATGCGTTGGAGTTGCGAGCAGTTGTTACGTCATCCGATATTCGAGAATTTCCTCTTCGCCGTTCCTGCCTCTGATCATGATGAATACGAGAGGGTTAGACGTCAGCAGGTAAATATACATTATATTTAATTAGCTTTATTTATTTAAATTTCAGCTACTTTATCTATGTGGCATTAGATTCAAATAGTTTTTTGTCATCAAAGTACAAAGAGACTAAACCCCCCAAATATGTAGTCTCTAGTCGAGACTTGGTAGTTGGTGCGAACATGACACCTGTATGTCAAATTTTGACAGACGGGATGACTCCCAATTCCCGTGTGTCATGAGTCATGACACTTGACAGATTACAGGATTGTGTATGCGTTGCCGTCTACTTCGGTTATTTATTACTTACTAGTGGACCCCACAGACGTTGTCCTGCATGATATTTAAAGCGATTAGGATATTAAGCAAAGTATGAAAGTACCGACTGCAGTGCCATCTGCCGGGCTGATTTGTGAATCTAAACCATTCCCAGATCCCCTTGAACACACACAAAAAATTTCATCAAAATTGGTCCAGTCATTTAGGAGGAGTTCAGTCACATACACACGCACACAAGAAATATATATATATTAAGATTGAGAAGAGTTTTAATAAATATACAGAAAGACTAACGAACTAGACTAGATATCTTTTTATTTTTATTTAGTATAATAGTAAATTCACCAAATTTATTACTTATTGAGAAGAATTTTAATAAATATACAGAAAGACTAACGAACTAGACTAGATATCTTTTTATTTTTATTTAGAATAATAGTAAATTCATCAAAGCACAATATAAAAGTAGATTATGTTTAAAAACAGCAAGAATTCAATGCAAAATCTCGAGCAATGAACGAAGAAATGTCTACACTAACGACTGACGTTACTGTTTCAAAGAAAAATAAAGGAAAATGAGCATAAAAACAATTCCCATAATGAGGTACCTTACTAAAACATATGCAAACTCCCCTTTTAGAAAGATAATATAGGATTTAAATAGATTGTTGATATTTAGTCTTAATCTTAATTTCTGTAAGTTGTTATATTTAGTTTAGGAAATACATACAAATATTTATATGCAGTGTGTATATAGCAAAAGTATTGTTTGGATTAGTTATATTCCAAAGTAAGACCATTTATTGTATATGATGACATAAAAATGCATCATCATTCACAAAAATTACCTTATCCTTGTAAGAGCTTAACTAAGTTTACCGTATGTTTGACTCGTAGAAGATTGAGACTTACGAAAGCATGCAATATACAAGAGATATTGTTTTTACAGGTACAGTCATCCCCATTGCTGCCCCAGCTCATAGTGAATGAGAGAAGCCAGCCAAAAGGCAGAAAGACAGACCTGAATTCAAGAGGACACCTACCAACTATTTGACTAGCACCATGGCATCGTATTTAATTAAAATTAAATGTTTATTCTATTCTACTCAACTTTTTTTTACAAAAATCCTGAGTCCAAACAATCCAGTGTAAATTACTAGCAACGCTTTTATATTCGAGATGTGTAGACTGTAGAGGTTAATTGACACCAATAATAAATTCAAAATAGAAATTCTTATAAATTACCTTTGACACATTTTAAATTAAAAAAATTGAAAATTAAACAAATTTACTTAAAATTGCTACATAAAGAAATAATGAATACATTAAGTAGTATTAACAACCATTTTTTAGATTCATCTTCATTGATTTGCCTTAAAGATCTGAAAAGACAGAAAACTTCATAAAAATGTAAAAAAATAAGATCAGCAGCTTCAACTATAAATAAATAATATAAGGTTATAAATTTACAAAATATTGTAGTCTAATTATATTATTTTTATATATATCAATGGTTTCAACATTTTTACAAATATTTAGCATCAATGGCAAAAATGGCTAGATTTTAAACTACAAAAACTCTAGTGTATTCGTGTTACATTCAAAATAAATATTATATTTTTTTCTTGAAAGACTCTTGAGTTTTTGCTGGTTAGGTTATCTATTTGGCCAAATGACTTAATTGGTAATGCAACTAACAGCTTAATTGGTATATTTACTTGTAAACCTTGATTTATTGTATACACATACCGTCGGTAGATTCTTTCGTTCCTCTTCTTTGACAAGAGCATCAACGTTTTGCAATCGCATCCACCCATAATGACTTCCAAATATAAGCGGTACCATAATGATCAACACAAGATTTTTGTTGAAAAATTCTCGAACATTCGGCATTTTGGAAACAATTCCTTAGATAAGCAAAATTAAATCGATCTTTTTCTTGTATTCTTATTAGCTTATGCTTACCACTTTCAACTGTAGGAGTAACAGCTGAAAAATATTGTACACTATTTTTATTTTTATTATGGCATCAGCTGATTTAAAATTTGTCAACATTTTTCTCAGTACAGACTAATTACAAAACTGTAGTTTTTTCATCTGTGCTCTTTAAAATGACAATTGACTGATTTCAAAATCTTCACTTTCCTCTTTCCCTTTCATTAATTCATTGTCAGTTGACAGTTCTCACTTCTCAAAAACATGGTGGCATTTCAGTGAAAAGGGTGTACATTTCGAGTAGTCATTAAAATTTAAGAAAGCTTATTTAGCAAGAGTGTTTGATACAAATTGTAAGTTAATTTCGAAAGATCTTGTATGTAAGAAGTTATAAAATATGTTAACATTATGGATATATTTTAGGTAAACACCGAATTAATAAGCTTCATACAAAATTAAGGATGACGTCTGAAGAGTCCCAGATTTCTGAAGAACTGAAGGGATGTTACGAGAATCTTATTGTTATCGATATTGGTGCAAACTTGACGAACAAGAAATACGGCCGTGATCTGGATTCTGTTATTCAAAGGGCAAAAGACGCAGGTATTTATTTCATCTTTTCACTGCCAAAAATCTTGCGTGCAAACATGTAAGGATATTATAATAATGCATTAATTTACAATTGCAATATGAATGTGCGCCTATTAATCTCGAGTGTACATTCCAAAGGAGTAATAATTGAGAAAGTAGAAATGTATGTTACAACAGCATCCTAAAGGAAATTCCATTATTATTGTGTTTACATTTAATATTAGGACAAACATTTGGCTAGAAAAGTGAGCCTGGCTTAAATTATAACGAAGTGCCTTGGTGCTGTGTGTAGCAGATCTTGATCTATCTTTTAGTTCATTGATTATAAGTAGTTTTATGGTTGGTTCCCTCAATCTTGCCTGGTAGTGGTAGTAAGAAAGATAACCATGAAATCTTTAAAAACATGAATTATGGTGTACCAGTTGCAGTATAAGTAGGCTTTCTCCTGTTTTATTTTTAAATCACCTATTAATATGAAATGGTTGCATTATCATCCAATTTACTATCTTATCATTTTCAATATAATAAAACATTCTTAGAAATGTAATACCATAATTGTTTCATAAGGTTACAAGTCAATTGCTTTGGCTTCTGTTTATGAAGATATGTAATCACTGTAACAACTATGGAATAAAGTTTTATGTATATTAAGCAGCTGTTAAGCTGATTTGTTGTTAGTATGCTATTAAAGGTTGCCTTCTTATTAACTTATACTAATAAGTATACATTGTGTTTCATTACTTTATGCTTGCATGTAGTTCTCTATCTCTTTTTATCTGTATAAATAGTAAATCTATTCTGTACTCTAACTATAATTTTAAAAGTTAATAAAAATGACATGGTCTATTAAATATTAAAATCTCAGGATTCAATTTCATATATCTAACAAATAAGCTGTGGTGATGCAATTGACTAACCAACATTTATCTATCCAAACTATCACATTTTATTGATAAATAACATATGATTTGATTTGCTGATTAATGTAGTTGTCAGACGAGATATTAACAATTTTACAATTGTAGGAGTCCAAAAGATAATGGTCACGGGAACATCGGTTAGGAGCAGTAAAGAAGCACTCAGGCTCACTCGACTCTACCCGAGCACTATATATTCTACAGCAGGTGAGTTTAACAAAACCCTTCTTCATCAATGCTTAAAATATAGGGATTTGAAGCAAGGCATTCCCAAAAAATAGTCAACAATACTTTGTTAGGATTTTTCCATTAAAATTTTCAAGATTATATTACATAAACCTATGTGATAAGTTATTTGGGTCTTCAAGATTAGGATATTGGTTTAATGTATTTGGATTTATGATATCAAATGTATCTGCTTATTATTAATAAGTTTAATATTTTATTATCTTAATATATATAAATTACGTGTCACGTTGTTTGTCCGCTATGGACTCCTAAACTACCGAACCGATTTCAATCAAATTTGCACTACAACAAAACAACAAACTTTCAAAGATAGGATAGCTTACATCTCAATTTATACCCGCAATATTATTTTATTACAAAATATTTGTTTATTATTTGATAGTCACAATTCTAACAGATGGCGCTGTGTTGAAAGTACCAACGTATCAAATAAGCAACAATATTTTAATGGCATTACCACCAAAAATGCATGGTGGACTGTCGTTCTACTGCCGTTTCCCTTGAATAGCTTACTACTATGTAATATAACAAAAATCTTAGCCACAGCAACGCTTGGCCGAGTCTGCTAGTTTAATATAAAAAATTATAAAAGACAACATCTACTAAGTAACTGATATGAAAAGTTACACTTAGATATTATGGCTAATTTATTTTAGTTCTATTAGGTAAACGATTTATAACAAATAAAAATGATTAGTGACACAATTCTGCTTCTACCTCAAAGATTCTTGTTAATGCAATGAGCCTCCTCAATCCTCTGACCGATTTATTATTTTGCTGGAAAACAAACCCACACAAGAAGTAGTTGTTGACTAGACTATGGGTCTAGTTAGTATAGAATAGGTGTTAATAAATACTTGTAATATCAGGTGTACACCCACACGATGCAAAATCAATGGTAGAGGAGGAATTGTGGGCCGAGTTACAGGCCACGGCTTCTGCGCCTGAGTGTGTAGCGATAGGGGAGTGCGGACTGAACTACAGTAAGGACTTTTCCGAACCGAAGGTGCAGAGGGAAGTTTTTAAACGGCAGGTCAGTTTCCCATGAAAATATGTCTATATGAGAAATATTTTTACTATAGTCATAAAAACTAAATAAGTCTAATTTAACTGTGTACTTTTTTTACGTTTTTAAGTATGCTACTAGGCACTTGTACTACAAAAACATATGATGGTCCATTGGTCAGCGACGTAAAAGAAATTGTGTGATTGAAAACGATGACCCGATATTGTAGATATCAGAGTAGACTGATAACAAGACTAATAACGCAAAGTGTAAAGGACAATAATTAAAGACATGTCTACAAAAACTTAAATTTGGACTTTATTCGAACGAATCCTCGAACTATAATACGCACTGACATTTATTAAATAGAAATTATAAACTTAAAAGGCCGGCAACGCACTCGCGAGCCCTCTGGCATTCGGAGTGTTCATGGGCGGCGGTATCACATACCATCAGGTGAGCCTCCTGCTCGTTTGCCCCGGTTCTATAAAAAAAAAAACTCAATTTTTTCATCGTGACGAAAATGAATAATTGCAAATGTTTTCGATATATTGCCTAAAATAAATTTTATTTATTTTTTAGTGTAACTCTTTAAATCAAAGATAAAATGTCGATAAGTTTACGTCGAAGCGATACTGGAGATAAATTTAGATTGACACGATCCTGTGAACGCATCCGATGTGCGTCTTGAATACTTTCATATGCTACAATTTCCTGTTTGGGTATTTGATTCTACAATAGCTTTGCTAAAATAGAAATTCAAACCATACTGTGATATTTTTATTTACAATATGATTTTAAGTCGAAGTAAATATTTAAACTAAGGCAATAAGCACGTTTGATTTAACCTTCATGGTCTTGGGTCCCAAGGATAAGGAAAGAAAATTCTTTATAGTTGCACGATGTGCTGTGCCTTTCTTTAAAAAGACTATTTTCAGATAAATATTATGAGTGAAACTTTATATGTCCAAAGGCGACTCAATCTGTTATGGCATTGCATTTGATATTCGATTATTAATAACAAAATAGGTTTATGTGTTTGACACACGTTTTATTTTGGTCTAAAAAACCTAACGATTTTTTTGGATTTCATGGGAGTTCACGCTACGTTTCTGAATCTCACCGACGGTTGCTGTTTAAATTAGAAAAATTGAACCCTTGTTTACCAACTCATATTATAAGTACATCTCTAAGTTTATGCTGGCAACCCTGACACATCGCTTGTAATAGTCTATTGATAAAGATTATCTCAAAATAAAATTACGTTGTCTAAAACCAAAATCGTTAATTTTCATTCAAATCATCAGTTGCATTACAATATTTTCCTACCCCATAAAAGCGAGTGTAAAAAATCCATTGCTAACGGGGATCAAACTTTTCTTTGTCCGTTTTTCATCTAAGTTTTTTATATAAAATTCTTATTCTATGATGTTATTTTTTGTATAAAGCATACAGAATGAGATCCGAGATTACCATAAACACTTCCGCTGACGTAAACTTTCCTTCGTTCAAAATAGATGTTAATTGGATGGACATTGACACACGGATACTAAACAGATCACTCCCACATGTCTGGCCATCTCAATTGGAGACTGCTTTATCACGTAATTGATGCTCGGCTTAGAGAAGTTCAAATGTTTCTAACAAAATACAGCGGCTCGGTACGGCTGGGTATTTAAAAATATTTTGAAAGAAAATATGTATAGTCTATGCGTCTTAGGGATAATTTTTGCATTCAGTCCGCTACTTTTTAAGATTATTCGTTGTAAAAATGCAATATTGCCCTTTTAATATTTGTGAACGGAGATTATAAAATTATCTCCTTTTTTGAAAGATTTTCGACGGTTATTATCACATAACATATTAATTAGTATACAAAAACATACAATTACAATGAATATTTTTGGGATAATGTACATTATCGTAAAAGTATATTTTTCTGGTAAATGGCTCTTAAATATCTACTCCTAATGTAGAATGTAGAGATGTAGAGATGCTACTTGTACGACAACCATAGGTATTGTTAAAGAAAATATCGTATTTATAGACTTGTTGGGCGATAATTTTATGCGCATCTGAATAATATTATCGCGTATATATAAATAATTGTTTACAAACATCATTTATTAATTATTGTTCTATTTTTTCCAATTTTGTTAATTATTTATCAGAAATCTTCTAGTAATGTCTGTCGAGAGTAGAGTGGTATCATGTCGTCTTGCTACAAATATTTACTTAGAAAATAAAATGTTATAACATGGAAAGGCCTAGAATATACAAGGCTAATTTATGATTGTATGTTTAAAGAACTTTATTTCTCATTACAAAAAGAATATACATATTTTAGTTACAACTTAATATCTATATATACATATATATATAAGAAAAATGGTCTTCGTTTGAGGCTCCTTCACGCCTTAACCACTGATCGTATCGACATGGACTACTGCCATTCGATGCGAAATTTTTCCTAGATGGTTTATGGCTATTTATTTTTTAAATTCCAACGTTCCTTCATTTTTTTCATACACGTCGCCTTTAGCCGTCCCAATTTTAGTCTACTAGGCTCATTGTGATATGTATCTTTAATGTCCTTTTGAATTGGTTAAACGCGCTAATATTACGAATTTTCGACGGTAATTGATTGACCTTGATCTCATGTGTGTAATGATCGAAAAAGTTACTGGAATGACGCCTGCAAATTCTCAAACTATGCCTCATGCCTCATTGAGACAGTATCTATTTCGCGAGGCATCACAAGGTTACAAGAAACGTGCAGTTAAACCGCGACACGTAACTCCTATGTATAGTTGAAGTCGGCTATCGAATTACGTTTTTGCATATCAACATGCAACTATTAAAATAATAATAAATACATCAGTTCAAAGTCAAAGTCAAAATAACTTAATTCATATAGATAAACAACTACACTTATGAACGTCAGGAAAGAAGTTAAATTAATTCCAAATTTACATTTACTACCAGTTCGCAAGTCAAAGAAGGGCAAGAAGAACTGGCAAGAAACTCTCCGCCACTCTTTTTAATCGCTAGGTTTTGAGTTACTAGTTTTATTTGCGATACATATGAACATTTGTCAATCTAATAGGGAAGTAGGTGATCAGCCTCCTGTGCCTGACTCTTAATTAATTAAAATATGTGCGTTGTGTTAGGATTCGTGTTGCCACCCGTACTTTGTAATAAAGTAGGTACCTATTGTACGTTACTTCAGGCAATTGAATACTTTATGAGATCAATAAAGTACACGAAAATACTTTATTTTGCTTGATGTGATTTCTTTAGTCGTAAATATTTTTTTGTGAAATGGATTGTATCGATTGGCGCTGAATCGATGTTTAAATATAGATTGTAAAGCTGTGCAATTGTTCAGTCGTATACTGATTTAATACAAACTGCAAAAAGCAATAAAAAATATATTTTGAAAATTATAAAAAAAAATGTACATTACTTTAATACTATGCACGTTTTTTCTTGTGTGTTATAACAAATGTACTTTAATTGCAACTTACGTAAAGGTGGCACAACACACTAAAGTATTTCGACATAGGGTTCGTCAGGAAAAGAGCGAACCAATTCTTGAAAAGCCGGCAACGCACTTGCTAGCCTGTATTACGATTAAGCTAACAAATGTCCGCGGCGTAGGATGATACCGAACTCATTTCTCTATGGGAAATGCTGACTTAACAGAAAGTCAGAGAGTCAGCCAGATAGAGTACAAGCCTGTGCTGTAACTGCCTTCGAACGGTTAATATATAAGATACGATTTTATTACACCAAGAGGAAAGCGTATATATATCTGTTAGCCACCGGCCGTAAAGAGAAAATTCGAAAAAAAATGTTTTAAATTCCGACTAGTAAACAACTTTTCTTTTGATATATTTTGATAAGTTTGTTCAATACTAAAAGAATCTACTTAGTTCACAATAAATTATTGATTGATAACTGAAAAAAATTGTTTATTTTATTTGGAAATTAATTTGGGGCCAGATGGCCTCCACTCCTTTGTTGCTCCTAGGGCTCCGACTCGAAGCCTCGGATGTGCATCAATAGTTATTCATAATCACATGCTCGTATGTTGAAGGAACTGAGAAAATATACACCCAGAAATCAACGTTGTGTGTACAGGCTAAATAGATGTGTATGTGCCAACCCCCATTGATTTTTTATGTTACTATACACATTTAAAAAACAACTAACATCGTACCAATAAACTCTTCCACTTCTCTGTCATCGTTTTTCCAACCCCTCCCCGCTATCCCTTTTATTCCATTTTTCCAGGTTTCTGGTGGGCGTCCCCCCTTTTTATTCCAATATACTTAAATACGATTCCTAATTTCAGGTTGAAATCGCGTGCGAATTACAAAAACCGTTATTCGTACACGAGAAAGAGGCACAAGACGATCTAACAACGATTTTAGACGAATTCGGGAACAAATTACCGCCCGTTGTCATACACTCGTTTACGGGAAGTGTGGAACAAGGAATCAAATATATAGAAAAAGGCTTCTATATTGGTATAACAGGGTATATTTGCAAGGATAAGTCTGATGGTGGCATTAGAAGACTTCTGTCGGAGAGAATTCTACCTCTGGACAAGTTGCTGGTGGAGACCGATTCGCCCTTCATGTATCCTAACATGCGGGCTTCGAAACTGCCGTTGCACGTCAAGGATTCGCTTACGGAGAGGTAAAGATGTTATATATTTTTTTGTATACCAAGCCTGAGCTCAATAATATTATTTATAAGAATCAAGTATTGTTGTTTAGTAATGTGTATTAATTGTATTAAACGCCGGTGTTTAAAAATATCGCGTAAACTCAAAGTTCGATTTAGCAAAACAAATATATATAGTCGACTAATGTGCCTACCAATATTAAAATAACATAAATATAAATAAAAAGTATCATATATGCCGGTATATAATTTAATTTTTCTTTCTTAGGCGCCCCCAACAGTCGCAATTGATGATGTTTTTAGTTTTTAACTTCTGTATAAGTATATTTGTTTATCAGATTCAACATTTGGATACAAATAATTAAAATTCATAAACAATTCATTACTCTATTGATAATAGGAAAACGCGCGCGTCCTCACTGTGCAGTAGTTAACAACAAAGTGAGCAAGCGCGAGAGTGTGTCCAATGCTCTCGCCTGAGCCCGTCGCGTCTTATGACTTGCGCCCCAAAAAGCGGAGAGGCGGCAAGGCGTCCAGAGCACCGTCCCCACTCTCGCGTCTCCTAGTAAAGAGTGTGGATAAGGGTTAAAACATATGAAATACAACTAGGCATCTAGACTGCCTCCATGTTTTCTGGGTCTCATTATCAATTCCATTGTTTCATTTCAGATCCCAGAACTTCGTGAATCGTTATTGCACCTTCCAACGTAATGAACCGTGTGCCTTACCCGCTATAGTTGAACTCGTAGCTGGCTTCAGAGCTGAGAAGCCGGAGGACGTAGCGCTTGCTACTGCATTCAATGCGCTCAAGATCTTCGGGCTTAGCCAGTAAGTGTATTTGAGGGTAGTTTTAAAAATTCATTCATTAATTGACTTTTGAGGGTAGATTGATACAAATTGAATGCAAAACTTTTACCTTGGGTATAAACTATTACAATTTACTTAACGTAGATACATTTTACAAACCAAAAGTTAAATATAAACAAAAAATATTTTCACATACTAAGTTTTATTGTGCGCAAGGTCCCTAAATCCATTCTATTTCAACGAAATAAAATGCTGTTTTAGTATGAGATGGATTTGTCTCTGAAAATCTATTTATGAATGAATTCGTCCTAGAAATTGAAATGTCTCGATTGTCGACTTTATTATATTAATGAGTATAAATAAAATATACAAATGAAAATATTTATACAATATACATGTTATTTAAGAAATTGATATTACTAATTTTACAATTGCTTATGACTATCGCCGTTTTGATATTTAAAAAATGTTACCTATGTGTAAATAATGATTTATTTTGAAAAGAGTAAGATAATTTTATAACAATAATTGCAATGAGGGAAACTCTTTTCGAAGATGTGATCGTTATTTGAAATGGCAGCTAATTTTCCCCTTTTGATAAGGCAATAAGAGGCTATTACTAACTGTTAAATAATCTTGCCAGAAAATAAAGACTAGACAAGAGAATGCCTCTCTATACTCTATGTTCATAATGATAGGTTAAGATTTAATGACAAATTGTTTTGCTTAAATACGTTTAGGTATACCTGAACGCTTTAAATGCCATGAACTGCATAATATTAGGCAGAATTTTTGTTTAGCGATAAGCTTTTATGTTTTGTATTGTCTATGGTGCACTTGCTTGTATTTACGAATATAGTGGCAACAATAAGCACAGTGATCTCATTTTAACTAATGTAAAGTGTCATCATAGATTTAGCCGACTTGTAAATGATTTATTTAAGAAATTTAATCTGTGGTGACATTTGACATGTTTGACAGATAATGCTAGATATTGTGTACCTCGTTTTTGGGATATCTGTGCGAATGCTATTTATCCCATTTATTTGAAATATTTAAACAGATATGCCAAAAATACTGCCACTTATTCGCACGGTGTTATTTCGCTCTGGCCAGAGTATTCCTATTCGAATTTTATTTTTGTTTATCGAATATTGTAAATAGATATTAATGTTGTTTAATGCTGGTAGTCACAACGAAATCAAAGACTGCGGGTATTATGTGGATTTTAGTTTTGTTGGACTACGGAGGGTAGTCGAGTATTGTTGATTCCTTATTTTTTGATCACTTTAAGTCTAAGGGGTTATTTATTGTACTGAATTGTAATTGTATACATAATATTGTAGTTTAAGATCCCTCGGACAAATGTAATGTAGTGCCTTCGACATGACGTCCTTTTGTGATACAATATTTTTTCATAGATTGTACAGATTATTTCTTGCAATAAAAGTTTAAAAAATAATAATATGTTTTTATTTTAATAACTATGTACATTATATCAACAGAAATAACAACCAAGATTCAAAAAATATTTTGTGGCAGTAGAAAAGTTTTGGAAATCCAAAAAGGTATTAAGAATACTAAACAATTTATAATAAGATATCGAAGTATGTCTAAATGAATTGAAACTTTATGAGGGTAGATGTCTACCCACAAATTAACTTTTGTCAAGTTTTCGCACAATCCCGGGTGGCGGTGAGGTTAGAACTTTCCGGGATAGTCTTAAATGCCCTGAAACTGGATCCCGTCCAAAGTATTTCACTTGAATTTCTGAACCTACGTCTAAACCTAGTACTGATGGATGCATTATCTGAAAATGATAAAATATATTTAATTGGCTAATCTTAAAGTCACAGTATCACTATATTACAAAGATACTTAATAAAATATTGTGGTGTGACAAACTAATAAAATTGACATATGACAGATACATCATAAGTTTTTGACAAACAGTAGAGGCACAGTTGAAAGAATACATTTATGGTGTAGATGAAATGACCACCATGTTGAAATTAATTAATTGATTCAATGTTTTAACTATTAAAAAATTTTCATAAAAAAGTTAAAGTTATGCACATTGCACAATAAGTCTCAAAGCGCACTGGCGCAAGCACTACTCCTAGATTACTGCGTGCACGCATACGCGCGAAACAAGCAAGACCCGTTATTGTAGGGCGTGCGAGTGTTGATAAAGTTTGAATAAAAATAAATTGAAATGTAAATATGAGAATTAATATAATAAATATTATGTGGAATTAATAAATAATATGCTACACATTATTTGGGTGTTTTTTAAGTTAGTACAACAAAGGGCAGATGTGTTGTCATAACAGTGAATATGAGAATTGACTATAATGATACGACGACATTATATGTAACATATCTAAAATTCCTTTTAAGACAAATTCGCACGCCATTGTGTGTGGCAGAATATGCGAACTTTATATTGTACCACCATAATATTTTTGTACCATATTCTTGCAAAAAAATAAAATGTTACTTTAATAAAATAATTAAAATATTACCTTTCTATGGTCTAGCTGACTGTTGTGAACTAATGCTGGTGACATTGCACTATAAAGAGTCACTAGTACGCCGATTTCACGTACTTCTACAACCTGAAAAAATAATATTTTTTTGTCTTACACGTCAAAAACGTCGCGGTAAAATAAAATATACATAAAAGATAGATATAGATTCTCACAACCCTCGAATTGAAATATCAGTGTTTGTATGTCTCATAACAGTGCAAGTCATTCCCCTTCATGAAATACAATTCTAAAATTTAAAAGAAAATGGTTGTCTGTAAAGTCGGTTTACGGGCGATATTTTAACGCGACGTCATAAAAAAACATTGATTTCATAAAATTTAATAATTTTTAATGAATATCTGTTCTGTATATAAAGGAGTGAATACTCGGACGCATAGGCCAATTGAGTGGAAGAGAGATAGATGCGGCGCAGGCGTACAATGTGCGTAACGGGACAATCATGACGGATGGTCCCGTTACGCTCACTGTACAAATACACTATCTATCTAGAAGTTAAAGTGTTTTATGGTTTTTGCGGCACCTTAGCTGTATAAATAGCCCCAAACTCAAGTTCCGGGGTCCTCTCAGCGCTGACCCAGTTGTTGATGCGAACTCTCGCTTCGTCCATGGCCGCTTGAGAGGGCGCGAACACGCTGTATTTGCACTCGTCTATTGGGCTAATCTGGAATTATACCATGCAATATAAATAACTAGTGGAGTAACAATAGGGTGGCAGGGCTGACAAAATGCCACGGGCCCCCGACCCAAGAAGGCCCCTGCCCAAGAGATATTATGTTCTATGGATGAATGTGAAGTCTCCAATACGCGTTGGGCTAGCGTGGGGACTACAAACCATTCCCTCTCGCCTAAGAGAGGAGGCCTATGGCCATTCGTGGGACATATACAACGTGTAATTGAGTACGCTGAAAATCTTGAAGTTTATTAAAATTACACTGAGGGACGATTTTTACTGATATCAAAAGAATTGCCACGGGCCACAGATGGAATAGTTACGCCACTAAATAACCTACTAATATAATATTTAGGACAATATTTTCAAATGTCACATGGACTTATGATTCTTTGCTAAAATAAATAAATAATTATTACATTACCAAAATTTGTAAATCTATTTTTTTTATTTAAAGTTACGCGCATTTTATGATTCGTTATTACTTAATTAGTACTAACCTGCACACCAGTCTCCACATATAATTTCTTGAGATTAATACCTCCTATACCAAGTAATTTCGATCGCTTGTGCGCCTCTACTTCCAATTCTTCCATAACTGGCATATTCTCTTTGTTTTTTTGACTGAAATAATTTATAATTCTACATTTTTAGACACACAGTGTACTAATAACTACACGGAATAGTTTTTTTTATAAAACAGGGGGCAAACGGGCAGAAATCTCAGCTGATATTAAGTGATAGACCCATGGACTCTCTCAATGCTAGAGGCCTCGCGAGTGCATTGCCGGCCTTTTAAAAATTAAGTATTAAGTTTGTAATGGGAGAGCTGGAATCTTACACATTGTAATATGCATATCTACTTATAATGAAAAAACACACTTTTTTAAAATAAAATAAATACTATTTATATTTACTACTACTATAATAATATACTAATACTACTTCTATTTACTATAATATAATTAATTAATTAAACATTCTTACCTCGGCTTATCAATGCACTTATTCATAATATCGATAATTCTGCTTTTGGCATCGCAAGCCTTTTGTATTGACTCCATGACTACCTTAAGGGGAAGTCCCGCTATCTTGATATCCGCTTGCAGAGCGGTAATACCCTTTTTAGTTCCTGCCACTTTGAAATCCATATCACCCATATAGTCTTCTATACCCTGGAATTAAAATTTAAGTATTTTAAAAAGTAGTGTTAGTTAGCCTGAGGTATGTAGGTTCGAACCCTGGTGTTCTTGTCGTCAAAAGTAAGCAAAGCTCTCAAAAATAGTAGTACATAAACGTATTAATTTTTTGTAGTAATCCTCAAAAATGCATTTCTTTTTCAAACATAGACAATGTGTGGGTAATATGTGTAAAAAAAGTAAAAAAAAAAAAACTAAAGGGGACCCCCCTTTAATTTTTCCCCCTATAGTCTCACGTAATACTTGAACGGCCCCGTATGAATGGAATATGTCTATGTACGCTTTTAACACTCGTTCGTACAGTGAAAGAAAATATAATGAGGAAACCGACAAAAGAACCTTGCCTATTAGAAAACGATGACGAGTCAGACAGAGATCTGAGACCTAGAACTAAAAAGGTTTTAAGCGCAACTGTGTATTTGAGTTAATGTTAAAAGTATTAAAATTTGAGATTGTGTTCATTGTTAAGTTATATTTGTTAACTTGATCAGAAAAAAATTTACAAGGATTTTAAAAAATTACGAATTTTAACTGCACTTGTACAGTTAAAGAACACAACTAAAAACGACGTTTGACGAAGAATGACGTTTACATTTCAATTAAACCCCTGGTTATAAAAAGATAATCAGTTTAATTACACTGCTTTAACTGAAGAATGGCAGGATGATACGAAAGAATAATTAAAAAATTTAGTTTTTGTGAATAGTTTCGTTTACATTTGAAATTAAAGTTTAAACCCTGCTCATAAAAAAATAATCAGTTTAATTGCACTGCTTTAACTGAAGAATGGCAGGATGATACGAAAGTATAATTAAAAAATTTAGTTTTTGTGAATAGTTTCGTTTACATTTGAAATTAAAGTTTAAACTCTGCTCATAAAAAAATAATCAGTTTAATTGCACTGCTTTAACTGAAGAATGGCAGGATGATACGAAAGAATAATTAAAAAATTTAGTTTTTGTGAATAGTTTCGTTTACATTTGAAATTAAAGTTTAAACCCTGCTCATAAAAAAATAATCAGTTTAATTGCACTGCTTTAACTGAAGAATGGCAGGATGATACGAAACGCATACTTTGAAATTAGTGAATAGTTTTTATAACGAATAAATAAAATATAGACTCACTAACAAATCAGTGAGTATTCTGTAGTCCCCGATGTTTCCTTTTTCGTCTTGCTTTGAAACGAGGCCTATAGCAACACCTGCGGCTGGTGAGAGCAATTCTACACCTGCATCTAGAAGAGCGAGTGAACCAGCACATACTGACGCCATTGAGGACGAACCTACAAAGAAAAGTAATGATATTTCATTAAAGTGTGTTTTCTATCGAGAAGTACAAACATGGAATGGAAACCTCGGCAGAACAAAAGACCGCGCCGTTCGCTACCGACTGAATACAGAGAAGCCAGAATGAGGCCTACGATCGTGATGATGAAGAAAACATAAAAATTTACGCCCACTTTAGGCAGCTGGTGCCACAAAGTGGTGGTGCGCGGATAAAACTGCCTTAAAAAACACAACTAGAATTTCGTTTATTATATAAAAAAATAATTCGACAGTATGAAACATTTTTTTAATGTAGTAGTAGGTACACGGGCAGGAGGCTCATCTGATGCTAAGTGATACCGCCGCTCATGGACACTCACATTGCCAGAAGGCTCGCAAGTCCGTTACCGGCTTTTCAAGAATTGGTACGCTCTTTTCTTGAAGGACCCTAAGTCGAATTGGTTCAGAAATACTTCAGTACTAGCTGGTTCCCCATAGTGGTGGCGACAAAAACTGCCTTAGAAAACGCTCAGTTGTGGAACGACGGAGGGATGGTATTAAAACATAAACATAGAAAAAAATATTTTTTTACCATTTGATTCAAGTACTTCAGCCGTAAGCCTCACGGTACAAGGATGCTGGGGCACAACGGGTAATAGGCCCCTCTCTGCGAGTGCCCCGTGCCCCATTTCTCGTCTTCCCGCTGGGCCAGTACGCCCCACCTCTCCCGTCGCGTATGAAGGAAACTCGTAGTGGAGAAAGAAACTCTTTTCTTTTATACCGCTGTAAGATATTTGTGGTTATTTTTGAAGTTATACTTCTTTAGGCGCGTTATGAAAAATTGATGAGAGTGAAATTTTACGATGCGCGCGCACCTATGACACAAAATTGGGAGTGTGATTATAGCGTGCGCACTGCGCAATCTACAAGTAAAAGAAATAGAATATGCGTGAAGCTAACTTCACGCATATTCTATTTCTTAGCTTAGCAGCTTAACAAGAATTTTGAATGACCATGACATCTGACAATGACATTTGAAACAAATATAGGAGTATTAATTAGTTTTAAAGATTATATACCTAGTTATTTTTATTATACAAGTGCGAATTTTATATTTGCGTCTGAATTATAATCAGAAGTGATTTAAATTGAATATCTAAATCAATACTAATTCATATGATAAAATATTTGTGAAAAACTGTGCCGAACTTCCTGAGTGCTTCAATACAATTGAGGTTAACTATCCGTATGTATTATCGAGTATTATTGTTGATTAAAACTGAAACATGAACCATTATTCATTGCTTTTGTTTATTGCGTTTGTTACAGCAACTTTTTAGAAATATTCTACGACCCTATATATCAATAATTGAGAACAAAGATTTAAGCACGAATACTAATAAGGAGAAAATGAAGGCTTGGAGCGATATTACAGAGAAGTAAACATTTTAATAAGTACCTGTATCTCAAAAAAATGATTACATTATTTAATCAAAACATGTAATTTTTCAGATTTAATCTAGCAAATATAAGGACAAGAGACAAAAAACAATTGATGAATCAGTGGAAGTGCACTAAATTGAATAAAAAAAAAGAGTTGTCATCTTATCGCCGTGAAACATCAAAAACTAGAGGTGGAACAAAGCCACCATCACCTTCTCCAGACACAATGGATATGGCAGAGATTATACCGCAACGGTTTGAAGTAGATTTCAATGAATTTGATTGTGATGGTGTCGAGGTAGGAATGTTAATTATAAATATGATGGTGATGTTCAAGGTTCAACCTCTCAAGCATAGGCACATACTTTATTCCCCTACAGGGTAGTTAGAGATATTGTAATACCTCAAAACATCCATGTTGCTCTTGTAGTACCGAAACTCTGTCCAGCCAGATGTGAGCCCATTCCCACTTATAATGGACAGTGGGTATAATACACCTTAATACCTGAGTGCGAACCACTCACCATGATACTTAAATTAATAGATGTTATTGAAGTTGTACTTCTTTAGGCGCGTTATGAAAAATTGATGAGAGTGAAATTTTACGATTGCGCGCGCACCTATGACACAAAATTGGCAGTGTGATATAGCGTGCGCGAGCGAGATGGGAATAAGACAAACTACAAGTAAAAGAAATAGAATATGCGTGAAGCTAACTTCACGCATATTCTAGCTTAGCAGCTTAACAAGAATTTTGAATGACCATGACAATTGACATCTGACAATGACATTTACCTTTTAAACAAATATAGGAGTTTTAATTATTGTTTAAAATTAATAATTATATACCTAGTTATTTTCATTATACAAAATATTTGTGAAATAATATAAAATATTTGTGAAAAAACTGTGCTAACCTTCCTGAGTGCTTCAATACAATTGAGGTTAACTATCCGTATGTATTATCGAGTATTATTGTTTATTAAAACTGAAACATGAACCATTATTCATTGCTTTTGTTTATTGCGTTTGTTACAGCAACTTTTTAGAAATATTCTACGACCCTATATATCAATTGAGAACAAAGATTTAAGCACGAATACTAATAAGGAGAAAATGAAGGCTTGGAGCGATATAACAGAGAAGTAAACATTTTAATAAGTACCTGCATCTCAAAAAAATGACCACATTATTTAATCAAAACATCAGATTGAATCTAGCAAATATAAGGACAAGAGACAAAAAACAATTGATGAATCAGTGGAAGTGCACTAAATTGAATACAAAAAAAGAGTTGTCATCTTATCGCCGTGAAACATCAAAAACTGGAGGTGGAACAAAGCCACCATCACCTTCTCGAGACACAATGGTTTGAAGTAGATTTCAATGAATTTGATTGTGATGGTGTCGAGGTAGGAATGTTAATTATAAATATGATGTATGGTGATGTTCAAGGTTCAACCTTTCAAGCATAGGCATATGCTTACAACATTACTTTATTCCCCTACAGGGTAGTTAGAAATATTGTAATACCTCAAAACATCCATGTTGCACTTGTAGTACCGAAACTCTGTCCTGCCAGAAGTGAGCCCATTCCCACTTATAATGGACAGTGGGTATAATACACCTTAATACCTGAGTGCGAACCACTCACCATGATACTTAAATTAATAGATGTTATTTATATATTTCAGGTTATTACAAATAAAATCATTTTGGAAACAATTGATATCCCAAAAGCAAATAAAGCCAACAATGACAAGGTAATAAATCAGTTTTGACATAACTTGAATACTAAAAAAGCCAAACAAAGGTGTGCACAACAGTGACAACATAACTTAACAATTTCATTATTTTGTAGGATTAAAGAAAGGTTAAAGAAAATCATGTCGAACTGAACAACAAGAATCCCCAAACAACTCCAAAGAAACCTACAAGGAAGACACCGGTATTATATTTAAATTATCTCTATCTCTAAATAGAATAAAAGAAAGTTGCTATCCAGGTCTGTAGCATGTGCTACAAATTATATTATCAACACATTTATATAATTATATTAATATAAATGTGTTAAAAAATTTATAATATGAATTATAAAAATTTTTAAGTTTTGCATGGACAGAGCTTAAATTAATATTCTCTTATTTGTTGCAGAAAGCAAGTAGTTTTGGAGAAGCCTCGTAGATGCACAACCAAGTAATGATTAATTTAAAATTACAAACCGAAATTCTGATGAAGACATTAGAGTCACTTAAAAATAAATAGTATAATGAAATAAAAATGTTTTAAAGATAAATAGTGTTTTATTTAATTAATTTTTCAAATGTAAACTGAACTTTATTGACTTTAATGACTCCTTTTCCAGTCTTTGATTATTTAATTGTAATTAATTATTTGCATGCAATCAAAAACTATTTTTAATAATGCCAAAGAAGTATAACTTCTTACGCGCGTACATAAGTACACGCACCCTTTTTTTTTACATATATACACTTCAAATAATTAAAACTTAAATAGTGTGAGAGGTGATCTTAACTAAGCGATCTTCTCCAGGCAACCCTCTAAGAACAAAAAAACGTGTGGCACTCGGGGACTGCCGCGGTAAACCTATTGCATAGCATTTTTTATCAACTTATGCTATATAATTATTTATTTATTAATTTTTTAATAAATAAATAATTATATATATTATATATATTAAATTATATTTGATAGTAATTCAATCTACCACTCTACCAGACTCCGACTAACATGCCTATCCGATCACGCTAAACCGATGTGAGACACAGTATGCGTTCTGTCCCGCTCTAACGCGTATTGGCCGCACCTATATTGCGTCATCGAGTGTAAGGTTTATTTCGTTACGGAATTTCTTGATTCGGTCGCCGCGCTCAAAGCCCGCGATAAAATCTATGCAATAGCTTACCCAAAAAATATCGTTTCAATATAGGTTAGGTATATATTTTAGATACTTTACCTAGACCAGCCTTAATGTAAGATGCTGTGAGGCTTGGACCCTAACCGTGAAAGAGGATGCAGATAAAGGCATTAAACAAAATTAAAAAAAAAAAAAACTCGCTCACCTAGTAATCATTGTAAGTGGGTCCATTTTTAAAGCACTTTCTGGAGAATCAAATGCAACAGTACATAACACTTGCGTCTGACCACGTTGGAATAACGCACTTCCGTGCAGAGGCTCGTACAGGGATACCTTAAAGATTCAAAATTTAAATATAACAATTATGGGCAATCACTTCAAGTTTGGTAGTAGGAATAAACCGCCTTATTTATGAAAACTTTTTTAACTTTTGTCTCTTTTTGTTAAATTATGTTTATGCTGTGACGGAAAGAGACAGATGAGTATTGAATATGTATCTATCTATATCTTTTTTTTTATAGAACGGGGCAGACGGGCTCATCTGATGTTAAGTGATGCCACCGCCCATAGACACTCTTAATGCCAGAGCGCGAGTGCGTTGCCGGCATTTTAAGAATTGATATGCTCGTTTCTTGAAAGACCCTATGTCGGCTCAAGATCATTTTCACAATTTTTATTTTAAATGCATTTTATTTAGTGTTGTTTTTTCTGGGATATGTTAGGAAAGAAGTTAGGAGAGCAGTGTTGGCCTATGGCTTCAGCGTGCGACTCTCATACCTGAGGTCCTAGGTTCGATCCCCGGTTGTGCACCAATGGACTTTCTTTCTATGTGCGTATTTAACATTTGCTCGAACGATGAAGGAAAACATCGCGAGGAAACCGACATGTCTTAGACACAAAAGTCGACGGCGTGAGTCAGGCACTGGAGGCTGATCACCTTCTTGCCTATTAGATTTAAAAATGATCATGAAACAGATTCAGAAATCTGAGGCCAAGACCTAAAGATGTAGCGCCACTGATTTATTTTAATTGTTAAGAAATAATTAAAAAAAATGGAAATTAAATGATTCTCTATATTAGTACATAACTGACCTCACAAGAAATATTCCTCAATTCATCCAACGCCCTTCCGTCACACCGTACTTCAGTCTCAAAAATAAGATCTCTAAATATCTGCTTCAAATTGCTATTAAAACATTCTTGGAGTTTGCCAACATCCACCTCAGTGTCCCGAAGTTGGTTCAAAACGGTTTGTCGTAGATCTGATACTGCGTTATCGCGGGATATTTTGTCATGGCTAAAATCACTGTAAAATACTTTTTCGTTACATTGTTATGCCACATAATACTGGATTGAAATGATTTTCATTTATATTTGTTATTAATATTTTCTGAAGTTAATTCGTTAAATCTATATAATATATACTCTTCTTTAATAATATCCCAGAGGCTCTTTTATCACTGCCTTTCAATAAATTTAAGAAATGTATTAAAGAAAAGCTGTGTAAAAAGGCTTACTATAAAGTCAACGATTATCTAGTTGATAAAAGGGCCTGGGACTAGTGCTAGACAGGCTACTTCTAATTAATTTGCGATATTTGTTTTAAAATAAGTGTTGTTTGATGATTTGCTATTTTAAAAGAGTACCGAGAGTTTTTTTACGCCGGCTTTTTCTCTCGGCCTACACCCTCTGTCTTCTTTGCCGATAGTAGGGATGCCTTCAAATTTAATGACGTGGAATAAGTGATACATGTATCTTATGTTCCATAATAAACATTTTTTTTTTATAAAAATGAATCCCTATCTCCCTTGATCACGGCATCACGCGTGAACGGCTGGAGCGATTTCGCTAATTCTTTTTTGTTGTGTTTGTTATTGTCAGGAGAAGGTTCTTATGAAAGAAAAAAATAAGAAAATTGCGCGGAAAATTAGAAAATTTAAGAATACTTAATCACCATACAATTCAAACTTTTTTGATGTAACCTTATGGTGCTTGACATAAAATTGACAGAATGCGTGCTGCAAATACCAAAAAGGGGGCAAAAAGGGAGACAAGGAGAAACTGTATGAGGCAATATGTAGGTATATAATATCTTTATATGTATATATATATAATTCTGCTGAACGTGTGTATGTCACTGAACTCCTCTTAAACCGCTGGACCGATTTGAATGATTTCTATAGATAACTTAGCTGTTCTTATGACATTATATTAATTAATTTGACATTTGCATGGCTATTTTTATATGGCTGATAGTGCGTTATTTTATAACTAATAAATCTCAATGTAACACTTTCTTTGCAAATAAACCGATTTTTTGTTAATATATACACAGGAAATTATGAAGTTTTAATAACGCGATTAATTTTTTTTAAAGCGAGTTTTAAAGCGAAGATTGTCAGAGTTTAGTTCAAGTGTCACGTTAAAATTAATATAAGACAAACAACTATAAATAATTTCGAAAATAATTTTTGACAAATTATTACACAACTAAAAATGATTCTATAGGTGATTTACCTTAATATTTCCCTAATTTTCATATTTGAAAGAGTCTTTATCGAGTCAATTACACTCTGGTCGATTGGATCTGGAACTTCAAATTCACGTTTCGTCTTTCCATAGTCCTTCTGTAATTTTTCTATACCTCGTACTATATGTTGAGCTTCTTTTGTACCTAAAATGAATTAATGTTGATATTCTCCAATTCCAGTACACTAGAATTAGATCTAGCCAATACTACGTAGTTGGTCCCAAAGTTCTGTCACTGACACATTATTTTTAAATTTCGAACATGATTTTATAAAAAAAATATTGCATTATATTTTTGAATGTTTGACTATTGTTTTAAAACAAAAAACAATCTCTTTCCGTAATTTTTCACGATGGAGTGGACATTGAAAGAAAACCGAATAGCTGTTATTGCGTTGCACCGCTGCGGGCGCTCGCAGAGTAGCATTTTCAAGTGGCTCAAAAATTTGAATGTAACGCTTAGGTTGGTGTACCTTACTTTTGATAGGTGCAATGAAGTCTCCAGTGTTGAGGACAAGAAAATAACTGGCCGGCTACGCTTCGCAAGAACACCAGCAGTAATCAAAGCTATCAAGGCGCGGATAGCAAGAAATCCTGTCCGATAGCAGAAGTTGATGGCTTTGCAGATGGGTGTCAATAGGAAAATAGTGAAAAAAGTTTTAAATGAAGGTCTTGGTCTACGACCATACAAAAAAAGAGTGGGCACTTACTTAATGCTCGTCTAAAAGCAATAAGGCTTAAGAGATCGCAGGTGTTGTTAAAGCGGGACGCGAAAAACCGACACTGTCATATCTTCTTTACGGACGAAAGATTTTTCGATATTGAAGAGAAGTACAATAAACAGAATGATAGAGTGTACGCCAGGAGTTCTGAAGAAGCTGGAAATAAAGTTCCAAGGGTGCAACATGGACATCATCCATCATCAGTAATGGTCTGGTTGGGAGTGTCCTATTACGGGCCAACTGAGGTTCAATTTTTCTAAAATCGGGTCAAAACCAGTGTAAAAGTGTACCAAGAGACGGTTTGGGATCGGCTTGTCAAAGACCTGCCCAGCACGCTATTTGCGGGACATCACTTCGTGTTCCAGCAGGACTCTGCGCCTTCACACACGGCCAAGACCACTCAAGCCTGGTTTAAGCGTCAAAACATCGACTTAATTAGACATGGGGATTGGCCTTCCTCCAGTCCGGACCTTAATCCTTTGGACTATAAAATTTGGCAGGTCTTAGAGAGGAAGGTCTGTGCTATACCCCATAAAAATAAGGAGAGTCGGAAGTCATCTTTAAATAAAGCAGTTACTGAAATCAACATGAATATGGTGCGTGCTGCGATAGACGACTGGCCGCGGCGCTTAAGGGCCAGTATTAAAAATAAGGGAGATCATTTCGGATAATTTTATGCTATTTCTATTCCTTAATTAATGTACTATAAATTGATACATCACTCATTAAAAACTGATTAGTACTTTTGTTTTTGTCATTATTTCCATTAGTGACAGAACTTTGGGACCGACTACGTAGAATCGAGAAGTTTTATCTAGAAAAAGGGTTCCATGGTAAATTAAACTGTAACAATATCAATGAAGGAATCTACCCTGTATTTAAAAAAAAGTCATTTGATTCATTTTAAGTACATTTCCATTACAATATTCGGTCTCAAAAGCATCTCTAACACTGCGTAAGGTATGCTCATAAGACAGTCCTTTAGTTGTATCTTTACATTGTAAACGGTGAGCGGGTAGTTGTTGATTTTAAAAAATCAACTTATAGTGGCCATGGTGCTTAGTGGACTAATATTTCATGGAACTTGAGCAATTATTAATTTTTATAATAATTTTAAAACTTTTCGCATCAGAATTTTTTGTTAATAAAAAAAAAGTGTAAGATTCTAGTTGATTGCATTAAAAATACATAAAAAGAGTTTTTGGTTAGTCCAATAATACAAAAATCAGACTTACATTCATACCTAATTTGATGGCTTTGAGAAGGTCCTGCTGTAAAATATCCTTAGCGTTGCCTTCCAACATCACAACCAGATTGGTGGCGGCTGCTGTCACCACCAGATTCAAAGTGGACTGTTCTAATTCCCGTCTAGTTGGATTAACAATTATTTCATGGTCTATTTGTCCTAGCCTGTAAGATACATATTATATTGTTACTATCAATAGAAGTATCAGTAATAAACATTAGTTACAAGAAAGTATTCTTAAAATATAACATTATATCATTTCACTTAATTCTATTGAATTCCAATTGGTCCGTGTAAACTCCAAGTTACTTGATATAATGTCAAACGTTTAAAATGACTCCAAAGGGTTAAGTTTCTTTTCATTTAACAATAACTATAATATCACCAAAAATTGTAGTCCCTTCAACTAAATACCCTAAATTACACCATTTATAGTACCATAGTATTTCCATCCTTTTAAAGAACAACATAATATTTGGTTTAAAGTTACCTAACAGCACCCACTGGTCCGTTCCAAGGTACATCTGACAATGCAAGAGCAGCACTTGCTGCATTGATTGCTGTTGTTTCTGGCAAATTTGTTCCATCCACTGCTAACATATTACATACTATTTGTGTATCAAAGTAGTAATTTTGAGGAAAAAGTGGTCTCAGAGACCTGTCTATCAATCGTGAGGTCAAAATTTCGCGTTCTGTTGGACCTGAAAAAAGTGTAAATTTTCTTTAGTCCTTAACCATTGATCAACCTTTTGTGCCAAAACTAGTTTTGCTGGGAATTAATGCCAGAATCTCTCTTTTATATGTTACATATTTAAAAAGTAAGACAGTCAAAAATTATGATGATAATGATGAAATATGTGATACTCATTTATTTTCTTAGCACTTAAATTCATTAAATCCTTGATTATGATTTAGAAAATAGATCCATTTACCTAATTCTTTTCTCAAAAAGTTAGTGGGTATACGGCCAGCTGCTGCAGCCTTCTGTCTATAGTCAACTACAAGGGGCAGAAATGATGCAGAGCTTTGCTTAGCTTTTGATACAACTGTAGAAAGAACACTAGTTTTCCCCAGGGTTGCAACACATGCTCCATCTGCAAATCTTGCATAACGACCCGAAGAAAGTTTAAGCTGTGTTCTGAAAAATTTAAGTAACATTTAAGAAATTAAGAAAGCAAAATATACTCAAAAATAAAGTATTGTGTAATTTGACTGTAAACCGCATTATTATGTTCCATAAAATAAGAAATATTACTAGTAATTTTAAAAATGATGGTCTAAATCATAACAAAGTAACGGGAAACTATAGGAAGTAATTTAGTGTTTTGGCCGTTAATTAACTATCTGTTATATACAGCTAGGCATACTTGACTTGATTAGAATAAATACTTAACAAGTTTTTAATACATGTAACCTATGAATTGAAGGAAACAAATAAATTCGATGAAGCTCTTTTAAAAGATTCTTACCCATTAGAAAACGGTACTTCAATTTCAGCCACATTCGTTTGGGTCGAAAATTGTTTTCTATATTTGTTATTTACCCGAATTTTTGATAAAAGTATGCGATGTTTAAGCAACATTATAATCATGTATGCCGCTGGTAATTTTTTAACATTGATTTCTACAAAAAAGGACAGGCACCACTATATTGTCAAATTATGTAATAATTCGGATTGTATTTGGCAATTGAAAGAGTTAGTATTGTTTTTATTATTGAAATAAAATTCTAAAACTATATACAAAATAGCTTAAGAAAAATTGTTAAACCAATAACGAATTTTTGAAATTCGAGGTTATTTGTTATTGACATTGATAATCAACAATTTGGAGTTTTAAAATTGAAATTGACTTTGATGAATGCGAACCTCTGACGGAGGAATTTATATTACCAATTATTATCGCCCAACTCTGGTATAATGTTATAGAAATATTGACCGTTCTGTATCATATCATTGATTATCATAAGACTCATTGCAGTTGTGTGAATGTGAAATCAACTAATCATAAAAAATATAACAGTAATTATTTTTCAATTCCTTCATGACTCCATGTAATGATGTAATCTGTGGATGTCAAAAGAATTATATGTCAAAACCACTTCACTTATAATTTGTCAAAACCATATGTTTTGTAATTTGTTGTTGTTGTTGTATAATACACAATCAAATATTCGCAAAAACAAAGCGATTGCTTAATGCTATTTCTAGAATTATGTATTAAAGAATGAAGAAGGTTCAAGGAAATGATTCTTTCCAACGAATAAACTATTTATATCAAGTACAGTATATATTAATTCATATTGTGGCAGTTATTAAAGGTTAAACTTAATTTAAGACTCTTTTTCTATTTTAAGATAAGTAAACAAATATCGGGTATTAATCCAGCACTGTCATCATACTATGGAAGCCTTGCTATTAATGTTGCAAAGAAAAGTGTTCTTAAAATGTAAGTCAATTATAAGCTTTCGAAATAGAAAGTATAACCATAATAATAATAAACTTATTATTTCATATTATACATTAATGGTCAAACCGATTAGATTGCAGTATTTGTATCAGGTCTTTTAAGACAGGACCTAAGGAAATGTTATGGAGATTTCTAAATAGAAAATAGAAATAACCAATAATGATAATAAATGATCGAAAAATTAATTCATAAAATTCTTGCAATTTCTCTCAATGACTCTTACATTATTTTTTTATATTTCCAGTCACCCAGATATAAAAAGGCAAATATGCAAAAAGTGCAAATGTCTACTCACCAACCAGACAAGTGAAGTGAAAATAAAGAATCTCAATAAATCAAAATATGTTCAGCGCATTTGTAAAATTTGTAAAACAAAGAAAATATTTCTGGCAGATAAAAATAAAGAACATAAAATCTGGTTAGAGAAAGCAGAGGCAGTAGTGGAAGTTATCACCCAAGATTAATAAATAATTATTGAAAGACTTGCATTTGGAAAAATTTTCAATGGCTTTCATATTCCATTAACATAACAATTGAACAGCACAGAAAGCTGAGGCTTTATCTCATAAATGATACCTACCTACCTAATTCAGGTATTTAAATAATTCGAACATAAATTATGACACCCTCATTATGAAAGTGTTGGTTAATAATTTAAAATATCTTGTGTCATTATTAATACTAGCTGTTTATAATATTGTATTTTATTTTTAACACAAATACAATATGTATGCAGTTCTGAAAATCTATCCTGAGTTAATATAAAATGTCATAAAAACATTGCATGAAATTGCAAATTGTAACTTCAAAATAAATGGTCCAAGTAGTAATACATGGTATCAAGACCCTAGGTTCGATGCCCGGCCAAAAAAATCATTTGGCTTGGTTGATGACAAACTATGGATCATTTAATTCCCTTAAAAACTGAATGACGTAGAAATTTGTTTGTCCCATTTGTTATGCACAAACAGGAACGTTGTAACCACTTTGTTCTTTTACGTCCTGGCATCAGTAACTTTATATTTAAAAGGGAAATGCAATATCGTTGACGGTTCAAAAATTCTACGAATAAAACTTCGTAGTCACGGACCTGCGGTGGAGATTCGCAATACCGGCTAGATAAAAATGTTATGAATTATGCATGAGTACAGCGCGCTATAAATCAAATTCAAGTGTTATCCTTGTTTTAAAATAAAACGAATTTTGTATTTTCGGGGAACTGATAAAGCGTTTACTACGTGGGTCGAATTCCAACGGACTGGTAGTAGGTATAATATAAATAGTAAAAAAAACCTGTGCCCATTACATTGTCTATATTTATTTTAAGTTTTTTCTTTTATATTTATGTTATTTTTAGTTTTGCATTTTTGCGTTTTCCTATTTCATTGGGTATTTTGTAACTATATAAAGTAAATTATGTATATTACTCATGGTTTACTTAAAATCATATGCATAAAAGCAGTGTTGGCCTAGTGGCTTCAGCGTGCGACTCTCATAGCTGAGGTCGTAGGTTCGATCCCCGGCTGTGCACCAATGGACTTTCTTTCTATGTGCGCATTTAACATTTGCTTGAACGGTGAAGGAAAACATCGTGAGGAAACCTATGACTTAGACCCAAAGTCGCCAATTAGATTGACAAATGATCATGAAACAGATTCAGAAATCTGAGGCCCAGACCTAAAGAGATTGTAGCGCCACAGATTTTTTTTGTTACTTAAAATAATTTTATTTAAGTATGTCGCGTTATGATACATATAAGAATTTAATAAAATAACTATAAAATATTTTATTACTGACTTCGATTGAAAATGCAGTTTATTTCGAAACTTTATACTTTATAGCTTCATAAGTGAAGTATACTATTCAGTCGTTTTCTATAGAAATGTAGTTTTGAAATGAAGAATCTTGTTTGCTGCGTTTTAATTTTAACGTATTTAGCTGTAATTAAGTCTTCAATATATTCCAATTTAAAGGAAAATGTTCTTCCATATATAGCTAAAGACCGCGCTTATAAAGATAACTTTCTACAAAAATATAGCAATAAAGATGTTAAAGTAGACAGAGGGAAACCTGAAGTTTATAAAATTCTGAAAAATAGAAATGACCAACGTATTATTAAGCCGGTAAATATTAAAGACTTGAATACAGATAAGCAAGTTTATCGAATGGATCCAGTACTGAACATCATTAAAAGTAATCTAGAAGGAAGAAGAAAGTTTAAAGATGACACCAGTAGTCTCTCTAGTTCTAGTGTTGAGGGAAAGAATTGGAAAGAAGAATGGAAGGAGCATTGGCTGTTGAAAAAGCTTGAAGCCGTTAATTCTTCAATACCAAAAGGGGATATGGTTAATATGGTGGCAGCGCGTAAGCACTTACACTTACTAATAGGAATAATTAAGGTGTTGCCATAAGTAAAGCTGTATAAACCTTACTTTAGAATTTATTAGTGATGTCAAGTGTCATTTTAATATATGTTATTATTTGTCAGGGCCTTGGGGAGTTCCTTGTGGTGATCCTAACCAACACGACTTCCCATGGGGATCATGTATGCTGCCAATGGAATGCGAGTCTGAATACAGAATTTACCGCGGTGACTACTTTTGCGGTCGGAGTAATTTCGTTTGCTGCGCTTTGCAAATGACCACATATGATCTTTACACCGGCTTTGATATATCCTTCGAAGACTCTGACTTGGCAACGGATACAGATGAAAAACGCAACAGGAATAGAGGTTCAAAGGAGAAACGACGCAGAAAGAAGAGAAGAGAACAGAAACGCAGACGACGAGAAAGGTTAAAACGAAAGCGTAAGATAAAGAGAGATATAAGGAAAATAATACGCGAAATAACGAAGATATTGAATAGATCGTTCAGAAACGGAACTACGGAACGAAAGAGGAAGACAAAGCAACTGAAGAAGTTTATAAAAGAAATGAAGAAGAAGTATAAGAAAGATAGAAGAGCGGTAAAGGATATTCATGAAATGGAGATGATAAAAGTTGATGCGGCGCTGCAAAAGCGCTTGAATGAGATAAGGGGAATGAATGAGGAGTATGTAAAGAACTCGACGTTTAGAGACATTATTATAAATGGCACAATCAGTAAGAAAAATGTCAGGTTATTAATGAATGCATATCCAGAATTACAACAACTCTTGCATACAAGGAGAAGTGGAAGACCTCCTGATTACTTGGAGTATGATATCGAATATGGTTTACTGTATTACTAGACAAATATATTTTAAATATATATTAATAGCTACAAATTTTTGTAGGTATGTTTAAAAAGCCCCTATGGCTTACTAAGTTCATAAAACAGTCATGGTTGATTACTTTCAAAGAAATCAAAACATAACTGCTCTTATCGTAATGCTATTTAAACTACCGCAAAGATTATAAGGCGAACTTCCTTCATATTCTGTCTTAATGAGATATCCTATATTATCGAACATCCGCTATTCACGATTGCGTCAAAGAGGGTTGTATTAAATGAACTTTTTTATATTAACTTTACTATAAAATGTACATTATAGGAGTAGGACATAGTGGTTGGAGTATGGCAGACGTCGTGCGTTCCAGCTCCAGTGTGACCAGCTTCGTGAGGCATGATAACAGCATTTTAGGGTTAAATTCAGAAACGAGCCTTACCGCGAACTATGTGTATTTTATCCAATACATTTATGACATACGGGAGTCTCACTGTTAAGTTCTCGTTACTGAAAATCACCCACCTCAATGATCGAAATCGACGTGGAGCCGAAGGTTGTACACTTGTCTCACATGTCGAATTGTAAAATTCAAGGTTTTTATTTATTTATTTCGTAATCCTATAGCTAACATAAATTATATACAACAACATATGTAGCCAAAGATGGAAAACATAATATATACAAAAAGGTTTTTTTACGAAAGGAAAATCAATAAAAATATTAAATACGTAATACCCATTCGGTACTGTGTGATGGTGTGAAAGCGAGGGGGTGTATGTGGGTTGTGTTCATGATTCAGCGCTTAATTGGATATTCTTAATACTCCTTTTAATTATATTCCGCGGTACAAGTCAAGGTTTAAATAGTGGTCGATGTATGTCACGGATCCGCGATACTAACTAAGTTTTGCATAGTTACATAGTATAACAAAATAATGTTTACTGGAACTAGTAGTATGTACTACTATTTGAGCACCCGACTTGAATGAGTAGCGGCAATAATTTTTGACCCAATACCTAATCTGCCGCTGTCTGGAGTGTTGCCAGTGCAACTTCGACCCTAAATAATGCGACTTATTTTTGGCAGAACCGCTGCGGTATTCAATTTGTCAGGGCAATGAACTACGTATGCAGTTAAATAATGTATACAGTCCTTACAAAATCAGCTTAGTAATAGAAGCCAACGTAAGATTATCTTATGATTAACATGTTTCCACATTACATTTGTATAATAAAGAAAATTATGGAAAGAAGACATAAACACATAAGTCTATCACATACAATACAAATATAGTTCAATATAAAAAAAACAACAAATCTAAAGCAAAATCCGGGTTTTTAATAATAATAATAATAATATTAATTTTTATTAATCAGACAAATACAGTCCATTGATTGATTAGTGAGTTAGTAATAATAGTTTCTTAAGGTCTATATTAGAGAATGTTGAATAATTGTGAGAATGTTTAGTCGAAAACCGATAACAAAACGTAGATAAAGATAGAGTTTTTGGTATCAACTGTACAGCTACAAAGAAATAAAATAATCAATGGCGCTATAACCTTTTTAGGTCTGGGCCTCAGAATTCTAGATCTGTTATATTTGTCAATATAATAGACAAGCAAGTGGTCATCCTGATACATGCAGTCGACTTTTTGGGTCTAAGGCAAGCCGGTTTCCTCACGATGTTTTCCTTCACCGTTCGAGTGAATGTTAAATGCGCACATACAAAGAAACCCATGGTGCACAGCCGGTGATCGAACCTACGACCTCTGGGGTAAAACTCGCAAACAGAAGCCTCTAGGCCCACACTGCTCTACTTCTCTATACTATTTAATTTATATAGTATAACTTAGTAATGCAATTTCTGAGCACAAAATAAGTGCAAGAAATCTGAAGCGAGTCCGCCGATGGGGTCGTAAGTGTACTTACGTTTTACGGCTTTGCGGTTTTGATAGGATAGTAAAATATTATTATATAACCATTCATTGCACGCTGACGCGAGTATGGAAGAATCTAAGGTTTTGAAGCACAATAATAAGCAACTATTTTTTTATATTAACCATAGTTTGGTGCATGACATGTTTAAGAGTGGCCAACCCGTCTATCTTTTCATACAAACGCTCGTGCGTGATTATGGCGTTGTGACAGATATTTCTTTGAAACTTTTGAACTAATAGGACGACTCATTGGTCTAGTGGTTAGTACCCCTGACTGCGAATCCATGGGTCCCGGGTTCGATTCCCGGCTGAGACGAACATCGATGTGATGAGCATTTGGTGTTGTGCTTAGGTCTTGGATGTTTAAATATGTATTTATATGTCTATCTATCTATAATAAGTATGTATATCCGTTGCCTAGTACCCATAACACAAGTTTCACCAGCTTAGCATGGGACTAGGTCAATTGGTGTGAATTGTCTTTAAAAAAAAAAAAAAAATGGGCACCTTGTGCACTATATCTAGGTTTCTATTACAACGCGAAATCAAAATTTTAAGAAACAAATTCAGTACAAACCTCCAAAAATCAGCTTTTTTGCACAAATTTTATATGAAGTTTGGGCGTTAATAATGTACTCATTAATAGTAACCGGAAATAAATATTTGCATAGAAACCTTGCAAATGTAATGGAGTTTCTAAATATAAAACTTTTTTTTCATAATCTTGTAAGGCTTACGAAAAAACACGTATTTCTTGGAACAAGTTTTATGAAATTTCCGAACACTATTTTTCTTTCAATGTTATCGCGTTCTCACTTGCTGACATTGCGCTGGATGAAACAACAAGCTTTTTGGCCATGCTCGCGTTGACGTTCGTCGGACGGGGAAGGGCACTCTTAAGCATTATCTGGAAGAAAAGAGGAATTGGTATCAAAATCAGATTGATACGGTATAGAGTAGAAACGTGGACTATCTTGGCTCGAGAAAGGATTGATTCCTTTAAGATCTGGTGCTTGAGGTGAATGTTAAGAATAACGTGGACTGTGAAGCACACCAATAGATGTATCTTGACCCAACAAAAGCCAATATAAAGGGTTAATATCATGCATAAACGCCCGTTAAAATGAAAATGAGCTCATTATAAACCTTCAAACAGAATACATAAATGAATATAAGTTGTCTGGGTTTTATTATGACAAGTAACCTCAAAGTTTTTTTCAGTTCCAGTGAATTATCTCGATAATTTTTCCGACCCAAATATCGACCAATAGAATTGCACCATTCGACGTCACGTGGTACAACCTACATGGTATTATACTGATAATTTTTTGAAAATTTTCTCTGGTAGTTGCTTCAAGAAAAGTATTAAGTAGTTGTTTTATTCATTATGAAATTCTTATTTGTTAACTGTACATTTCGTCTCATGGTGCAATTCTATTGGCCGACATTTGGGTCGGAAAAATAATCCCCGAATACCACACGAGCTTCAAAATTATCTGGCACACTTCTCAACACTCTCCATGGTAAATGCGTTAGAAGATGCACAGAGGCCCCACATCTCTACGCAACGCCAAGGGATCAAGCCGCACGGAGCTGCCGTTACTGGTCGTTGACGATTCGACCTGACACTATGACTTGCAATTATTATCAAACAGGACCTGTCAAATGAAAATGTAAAAAATCCTTCTTGCATTATAATATTATGTATACTGTGCACAAGTCATCTTAAATTTACTGCTACATTTTTGTATCTTTTTATTAAGAATAGCACAGTGACAAAGTTCATCTGCTATAGTCAGCGTCTCAGGATGTCATGCCCTGTTGTTAGACCTCCTAGACGGATGATTATACCCTGGTCGAGCGTTCATACTTTTTACATTCTACGCAAATAACACACTCTACGAAATCGACATGTATAGTCCACAACGTGTGTTCTTAATGGCTCAAAAGCTCTTATTTTTTTATGGACTATCGGAAAATAATAATTTTTTTTTTGTGGAACAAATCGTTTGACTTTCGTAATTAATCCGACGAGTTCGACTAACGCCCACGCGATTGGGCCGCCGGTACCAGCGCTACGACCCACTATTTTGTGTCACTGTCTCCCGGCCTTTTAAACCCATAATACTAATCACTTACTTGTATATAAATAAATGGGTTAATAAAACCTATTGTCGGGGGACAATCTAAGAGGACTTCCGTACTACGTTTGTATATTATTCAGCTACGGAAAATGCACTAATTACACTAATTAAAGTATAATAATGTAAAAATACATAAGTATAATCGGTTAACGTTCAACATTATGATGTAAGTAGTTAATTCAATTACATCGATTGCATGAAGCCCTCCAAAGTTGATACACACTGTCGCATCTCCGCATAATATCGTCACGTGGACCTACTTTGGGGCCTTGTAGAGGCTCAGTAGTAACTGGTAAAATGCCGTGGATTCGTGGAAATAATAGTTTTATTTGCACTAAAAGTAAGTCAGACGCTAATTGAAGTTTATTAATTATTTAATCATTAATTTATCTAAATAACAATTAAATTCAGCTGAAAAAGCGCAGCACCACTATGTGGAACCAGCTGCCCACTGAAGTATTTCCTAACCAATAGGACTTAGGGACCCTAAGTAACTAGAAAAGAGCGTACCAATTCTTAAAAGGCCGGCAGCGCGCTTGCGAGCCTTTTGGTAGTGAGTGTCCATGGGCGGCGGTATCACTTAACATAAGATAAGCCTCTTGCCCGTTTGCCTCCTGTAACATTAAAATAATATTGAAATAATTTATTAGCCTCTTCACAAACTTACATAATGAATCATACTATTGTCCACCTTTGTGAGAAGCTAGGCCTGTTATCTTTAATAACAAAAAAAATTGAACCATTTTCTTACTCAAGATAAGCTGTATATATTCCCATTGCAATTTAGTTTTAGATTGTCTCCTGAGACGCGGTCGATACGTTTACGGCGTTTGGAAGTGTGCCAGGGCAATGTATGAACTTAGGTTGAGTACACACTGCATTATAATTTGACAGCTGACGATACAAGCCACGTTTACAAGTGTCAAGATAAAGCTGCA